AATTGTATACCCTCCCAATACACCCCCCCCACTTCAGGGACATGCGAGGAAGGGGACTGTTCTAGCCAGCTTTTTCACCAGCCCTTCCTAAACCTTCCCGAAACCTTCCCTTTGAGCGTTTTCCCCATTCTATCGAACGTGAAGGCTCCCTAAAGTCACCTAAATTGACAATTTGGACTGGATTCCCTGTCAAATCGGCCGTTCGAGGGTTTCCCCAATGTCTCCCAAGGGCTTCTCTTGTGTTCTGGCCATCGGGCCGGAAACTAGGCAAAGGTTCCTCTACTAGGGAGAAGTGGTTACATGTGTCTTTCCCAGATGCTCTTGCCAATACAGATGGTCACAACGGATCTTTTATCAGCTTACAAAGGACACTTCCCTGCAAACTCAATGGGCTTCTCCAGCACTGGACGAATAGAACTCACTTGCATGTCACCGTCATATTGCAGTCCTATTGGCCAACACAGGGAGAGAACCGGAAAAGACCAAACAGGACCGAAAATGGGGGGTCCATGGGTATTCAAGAAACTTGTTCTTGTCAACCTCCACAAGCTTGAGGCGGGGAAACGTTTTGGGGGCCGGCGTGCTTTCTTCGCTCCTTGGAGTCGGTCTTCCCAGAACTACTAGGGATGTCCTTTTCGACAATAGTACTAACCCCGGACCGACATTTAGTAGGAGGCTCTCCAAGATATTTCGATGTTCAACGTACAGTAACAGTTAACATGCAATGTCTATACCGCGCATTCTAAATTGCAAGCATGCAAACACGGCCTCAACAATCCGATTCAACTCAATTTTATAACGCATTAAGAGATAGAAAACCCCTGTGCACAAGAACTTCCAAAAGGCTCCGAACGTGGACCTGGGGAGGGGGTGCCGTGGACCCCTAGAGTTGGTTTTGTGCAGCTTTCCAAGTGTGCGAACGAATGAGGGATTTTACTGGAAAGGGATTCAACCCATTGCAAGTGCAGAACATGAATTGCTTCGCATTCAGGCTGGCTTGCTGGCAGCAGCATCTGATACAATAAAATTAAAAGAAAACTTGCTCAAGAAGCATCTGACTTTCTCTCTCTCTCTCTGAGTTGCTCTCCCCAAATGTTCAACTCAGGAAGCTGCAAGAATACATGTGCATATATATATACATACATATATATATATATATGTATATACATATACATACACAAAGGTTGAATTCAACTCGTAATGGTTCACCGAGCCTATATGATAATCCCCCGAAAGGGACCTTCACTTGGGTCTCAATTCAACCCGCCAAAATGTTTGCCCCGAGGTCCGGGCAAATGGCAAATGCTTGGAACGGAGAGAAGGGGTATCTGAAGTCCATATTGAACACGTCCTAGCGAAGAGCGCTGCCGGTTTGCAAGCCATGCTCACGCAAACTGAAACATGCTCGTTTCGATAGGGTCCTGCTGGCACCCGTGTTGTGACCTATGTGGCATGCCTTCAACGGGAAACCTAACACTCTTCGGACCAGACATCCCGAAGGACAGCCCCAGCGTTGCTATAGTTGGACTCACAACACGCCCAGCTCTTGCGGCTTCCAAGCTCATGTGCACCTCGCATAGCCGCAGGCCCCATCGGGCTGACACCACAAGAAAGAACCATTCCTAGCCTTCACAAGCGGGGTTTATTTCCTCCCATATGTTTCTCTTCAACCCGAAGATGGACCCATTGACAAACCATGATAGCCCCCTGATTGATTCACAGTTCGATTTAATAGTGCTTTTTCTTTGCTGTTCGGGAACGCCCTATTAGTCCATCAGGTTGATCAGTGGGCCGACATGATTGAGCTATGAACTGGCCCGTCAAGTGGGCCATAGCCAAAGCCTCCGCAAAGACGGTCTGCCCAAAACCTAATCTGCAATGAACACAGCCGCAGTTGCTTCGGAATGCCTCAAGACTTGCAACAAATGGAACCTGCGGGAAAGTACCTGAGTCATAGTCAAAACCTGGTAGTAAAATGGTCTACCCAAGGCCAATGTTTAAAAGAAAATAAGGTGGCACCCATGTGTGGCTCGGATTGTCCCTTATTAGCCTTCACTTACCCGGTGTTGACTTGTGGCTCACCTGGTCTAGGGGACCTGGGCTCCCATTCCCTCCGGACCTCTGGCGCAATGACTGCTCCATCCCTGCCTTGCCAACTCGTCCGAACTGCAGAAAGACCTGGGCTTCTGAATCTTCATTGGACCTTTGGTGGACATCCGAAAGACCTGGACATTTCTGTGGGCAGCATTTATGCCCAACATTTATGCCCAACATTTATGCCACAAAAGCAATGCACATTGTTTACACAGCGGAGCTACGGCCACCCTGGCTCTGAAGCCGAAAGGCACACGGACTTGAAGAAAAAGACAATGGGCATATGAGGAACAGTCCGAGGCGAAATAGTTAGCATGTTGATCCCATGGTTGTCAACATATGGCTTTAAAGGACCCTATTCTGATTGATTGGGGCCCTTATTTTACGGGGGATTCTGGCACAGAAATGCGGCAGCACCCTGTTTCAAGGCACTGGGGCAGTGTTTGAGCGCGACAGCATGTGCAACTGGTACATGGGAGCCTTTATACACAATGCGATCTTGAGAAGAGGGAACGTTTGATTGTCATGCTTGGGAAGAGATCCCAAACAGAACCACCTCAGGATGGTTGGTGGACACACCTAAATGATGCCACCGAGGAATCCCGGATGCTGTGGGTATGTCCATTTCAGGAAATGGACCCATTCCTTTGAGTACACGGTCAAAGTAGGGCACTGTGTGAAATGATTACTTCCTGCAACGGGGCTTCCCAAAGACTCACCCTCAATCTAAAGCGGAGACTCCCAAAAGTATCACGGAAGTGGACATAAACCCCTTGACCCCACAACTTTGGAATAGGGGGACCCCAAGCAGACTCGTTCGGAGAACCGAGGTGCGGTGTCGGGATCCTCCACCGTGGTGAGCTGGAAATTCTTCACCGACGCCTCAACACGCCATCTGTGTGTGCGACGCGTGTCTGTTTTACAGGGCTTTCCTGCCTCAGGTGTGTCGAAAAGTGGGGGACCCCCAAAAAGGTGTGGTTGCTCTTTTGGTTTCCATTGAACATTCCAACAAGGTACCCTCAAACAACAACAAGGCCTGTCTTTGAGGAAATACGGCCAGGGCACAAAAAGGGACCGCTTCCTTGAATTTGGGGCCTGACCATTCCAAGTGCGACAGCCACCAAACAGGGCTTGACCATTTCAAAGCAGCATGCCACCAAACAAAAATAACAAAAAGGAGACAGGTTGCAACTGAACAACTGCGCTACGGGGCTACACGTTCTTTCAGCATCCCCGCAAGACTCAGATTCATGATAGTCGTACAATGCAGTGTAACCACATGTCATATATGATACTTCAACATTCAATAATGATAGTGCCATAGAGCCCCGGATGATAGCTCATATCGGCGTATGTATAAGGGTTGCTTATACCCTTGAACAATCATCTCAAGAAGCAGGTTTGCCGGAAGACTAGTTTGTAACTTTCCACAAAGCGATGCTTGAACAAAAAACAGAAAGGCTGCTGCCACAAAGAGTCACAAGTTGCCTGGGTGTGGCCGGCGCGTGCTGTTCAATGAGCTTTGCCCCCCTGCGAATGCCATGGCAAAGCCATTGTTGAAAAAAGATGTGGCTAGTAACCACAAGGTGCAGATTTCATTTTGGAGTTGCGTTTTGTTCCAGTTGTTTTCGTCATTTTTCTCCGGAGTGCCCAAATGCTGCAATCAAGCACATAATGTTCTTGCACAATTGCCTTCATTGGATAGCACCAGCCAGCATCTGTCGCTTTACACCCCTGGCATCACCAGGCTGTTGGCGTAAGTTTTGTGTATTGCCGGTGCTGCCGGGGGTGTCGCTGGTGTGGCGGAAAACCAAAGCCGCCAAAAGCAACAAAGCCACAAAGACCGGCGAAAAGCCGCAAAACCAAATAGTGAAAAAACCAGCCAGAACATCCCGAAGAAACAAGACATGGCCTTCCCCAACCATAAGTCGGTATGAGTAATAAAACATAGTCCATCCAAAACCATTATAAAGAGCTACACAGTTGACACAGGTTTGTACCCAAATAACCTATGATCAGGCATTCCATGGTCACTATCATGTTTTAGGCTCGGACATGTCCCCCACTTACACCTTAGCATCGGTACATCGGTAGCCACGCCCCGAAGCTCCAGTTGCTACCCATGGCTCTTGTGTCGCCAAACCACTGACCAATGACCCATGGATGAGATCTTCCAATAACATGGCCGCCTGGCACCCAATCTCTCTTTGTTCCCCGGGTCCCAAAAGGTAAAATGGGTCCATTCAACCTGACCTTTCCAAACGGCGCTTGCGTTCTACTGACGGCATCCTTGGCAAATGCTTTCGAGGTCTTTAACAAATCCAAGAAAAACACTCCTCTGACAGTTAAACAATCAAATGCCACCCTTCACAACTGCCACCTGCAATTCGACATCTCAGGTGCTCTCTGAAAGGGCCCGAGCTGGCTCCCGATTGGCTCAACATGCCCTGCTGGTTGGCTCTGAAGAAAAGGCAAGCCCCATCCAAGAAGAAAACAAGAAACATGTTACTCTCCCGTCCAACATGGAGCCTGACAGAGGGTCCTGGTTTGGAGCATGTTCCTTTAAAATGGAACCTCTGGTGGGTTCCATAATAGTGGACAGGAGGGTAAACGATATTTGTTTTGTTAGAAGACCCCATCAGAGACCTGCAACTAAGTTGCCAATTGGCCCCAAGACTGAACGACAAACATCGGCAGCCCGCAGCAGCATTTTCCCGGCGCTGGCACTCTGGAGCCGTCTGTGTGTGGAAACTCCTCTTACCAGCACTTTTTCCAACCATTAGAAACGACAACACGCACTCGGAGCACTTTGACTTAGATGTTTGTCCCCTGCACACAAGCATGCTGAAAATCCTGCGGATGGGAACAACAAGCGAATCTTTGATCGAGCCCAACAGGGCGTGCCTCTAAATGGAATATGGGACCCAAATAATGAGTCCTGGATTGCTCCCCTTGAAACAACCCCACAAGGGGCCAAGGGGTACTAACATCAACAGTCGAGCTGCATCGTCGAAGCGCCGCTTCCGCGCCTGCGTCACTCGCTTGTTAAAGTTCAGCACAAAGGCGCCAACCTGCTCGTTCCACTTCGGCGGCCTCGGTTGGCTTCGAGGACGAACCGACCCAAACACCAAAACGGACCGCATTTGTGCGCCACCCTCCCGACGGCACCAGAAACAAGGTGCCCAAGTGTAAGTGTGCAAATTCCTCTCAGGGCTTTCCTTTACGTCCCTTTCGGGTTTTCGACCAGGAGGCAATCCCTTCTTGGCTATTCAAATCGGCGCCCCAAAGTTGGCAGCTTCTCGCTGTCTAACGGAGTCTAACACCAACAAATTGAATCCCCCCACTTTTGGGCACTCCCCTCGCCTCATGCGATTGGAAAGGCCCCTTGGCCTCCGTTGGAGCTGTTGGAAGGTCACTCGAACGGGAGACGAGCCCGTTAGGAGCCCATGGGAATGGTCTGTCGCAAGGAAACAAGGCTTGGTTCCCATTTGGATTCACAGTCCCAAACATGTATCAACTTACCAAGGTTAAAAAAGATGTTCCAGATTCACACTTTGGGCCTCATGTGGAAGCTAGCACCCATACCCATCTCCCATCTCCGTGCTCGGGGCTTGTTGTGGAAGGAGTGGATGTGGCTGGTGTTGCTTGCCTGGCGAGCAAAGGCACAGCGCAAGGGCCTTTGAAGGCATGGAAGCAGGCAGCTGAAGCACCGATGAGATAGCAACGATCACCATGTGTTGTTGTCCCTGGTGCAGCGGCAGCTTTTTCAGGAAAACAAGCAGCAAGCTAGAGCGATCCGCTGAAATCACGGAACCTTGGGACCTGCTTTCGGCGCAGACAGCAGCCTCGGTCGATTGCATCTCTGACACCTTTTCGTCCCGAGGAAGCCTACGTGCTTTGCCATACATTTTCCAAGGGCGTCTAAAAGAGACCACCCTGAACCATGCACCCTGAGTTGAAACCACCATTAAAACAATGGGGGGTTCACATAACCACTATTGTTTACCTAAGGATTGTCGTCATCCAAAGAGGGTCTTTGCCATTATGTTGATGGGGTTGAAATTTAGGGTGCACGTGCTTTATTGTGCCGAATCCCAGGATGTCGCATGCTAGAAATCGAGTACAGTAGATCCACCAGTTTCCTCACTAAAAAAAGAAGGACACTCAAGGTGAACTTTCCGTTCTAGGCAGCATGGGTGGCCCACCCAATTGGAGCCCTTTGGCCGCCTTAGGGTGAAGTCCCTAGAGTTCAGTGCGAGGACTGTAAGATAGCCTGTTCCCCGTTGGCCCATTGCAACGCGCTTGGAAAGGTTGGCGCTGCAAAAGGAATCCATTGCCACTGGGGGCGGCCATCAGTTGTTCCGTAGTATTTGGAAGCACCGGGTTGTATCGTCAAACCAAGCAAAGCGGCCCTTGAGCCGAAACCTCGAAAACGCAAGCCATTCCTGCGCTTAGTCTAGTCTTGCAACTGGGTTTTGGCTGGTTTAATGCTTGGTTGTTTGGCCCAACGGTTGGAAGGTTGGTTGTTTATTCTGGCACTCCAAAAGCGTTGAAAGGTTGTTGGAGCAGGGTCCGCACGGAGACCTCGGTCTCTCGACTCCTCGCCGGCGCCTTCTGCAAGGCGACCAGGCCCTGAGTCTCAGGGGTCAGCGTCCTGCGCATTGACAAAACTAGGCGCAGGCGGGATCCGGATCTCACCACGTGATGGAACTGTGTTTTTGTTTTGTTTTTTTACAACCATGCAACTCCTTCCATAAAGGGGTCCCTGATTTCAGAACATGCCTGGTAATAGCGTTTGGGCCTGAAGGTTCGTTGCTGCAGGTCATTTAAGCGGGGTTGAAGGCAACAAACAGAGACGGGTTGGGGTTTGTCATTGGAGTGTACAGCGGTCTGCATTGAAGGATCGTGACCCTTAGACTATGTCCCTTTCCCTTTTCGCAATTTGTGGCCTCGAAATGTCTTGCGCAAAGTACTGCAATTCACAAGCTGGAAGTGAGCGATCTCCATCACACGAACCATTCATAGGTGAGCTCGTGAAAGCTCCGGATAAGCTTGTTACAATTTGTACACATGAATAGCATACTGTACAAGGCCGCCTGCTTCTTCTTGAGTCAACTTTTGAGCTTCCCCTAGTAACACATCCACCCCTGTCCTGGTTTGCTCAGGCCAAAATCCAAACAAGTCACATCACGCCCGTTAGTTTTTTATTGACCCAATTCCACACCGATACTAAACTTCTGGCTGCGCCCTACTTTCAGCAAGGAAACTCTCGAACCTGAAATCTGAAAAGACATGCCCCTAATTTCAACCCAAATTAGTTGACAATTGAAACTTGCAAAACATGCATTTCTACCTCACCAGTGGCCAGCGGCGCGTTTCCCAACAACAAGGGAATCCCCTGTAAAACCCTAGTCATAAATATACGTTTCCCACTAAAACGAAGGAGGTGCGGGAACCCGGGGGCGTTTGAGTGGATTCTTTCTAAGCGAGAAATCCCATCGGGTCCTGCAAACCAGGCGCTCGCCATTGGGTTGAACCTTCGGGATCACCTGAGATCCGCTTCGACTCACTGGATGCCTCTCCGTAGCCATAGCCTTCTGAAAACCATGGAGATCTCCTTTCGGACCTCTTGGGCTCCTTCCGTTAGGGGAGTTTTTTTTTTGCTAACTTCAGAGAAAAGGGCTCTCTATCATCCCTGTCATCCCAAAGGCGTTGGGAGGCGAAACCAACTTGTGCTCAGATCCGGGTCTGCCGCCGGGCATGTTCTTTTCTTTTGTTCCCTGCATGGCCATGCCCGAGATCGAGATTTTGTCTTCGTTGCCCTTTCTTGTTTGGATTGGTGGGAATTGGCCATGGGTCAAGGTGAACATCCCAATCCCCACTAAAATAGACTGACACGGGTGGTGCACCTATCCCAAAATGGTACTATTGGTTTTGAACCATGGCCGTGTGAACCCCAGTTCCAAATGGGGGAAGGCAGCCCCTAAAGTCCAAACCACCGAACCACGCCACCAACTAGGGGAAAGCTAACTTTTGGCAGGAGTAAACAAGAACAAAACACACACTGCACACCTGGGCCGTTGTTACTTTAGTTTTCACGGCGAAATACTTGTATGCGTGCTGTCAACAAATATGATGGCAGAACTATTCCACCAATGTTGCGAGGTAACATTAATACTGACCTCATGGGTTGAGGGTCGATGTGTCCATGCAGGCAGCGGCTTCGGAGAACTCATGCGTTCGGCTCCTGACTGGCTGAGTGATCGCACACATATGACATGCCTTGAATGACCCAACACGCTTTCTGTCATAAGCTGATCATGAGCAAGCTGATCATGACCAGCGGTATCGTGCATGTCTACACGTCATGATGTCCGTAGACACATGTGCCATAGTCAACAAAATATGCGGTTGCCAGAATGGACATGGGACGTACTCCATATGTGAGTCCCCCATATCCCTCCCAACCGACCACAGGCTCAACAGCTCCAAATGAAGCAGTCGACGATCGGACGATCAAACGCCTGGAGCTCGCTGTGGCAAGCAGGCGCTGTTTGAGAATGGATTCTATGCCAACCTGGTTTCCATGGGGAGCCACAGCTTGTGAAGAGCTGTTGATCAAGATCCCTCCTGATAACGAGTGGTTTGCTCCGAGCGGATAGACCCCGGCTTTCGTTCAAAAACTGCTTAAATCAGTGGAACCTAAGCAAATCTCTACCGAAACGCGGGTCCTTCTTTTAAGGTTGGGACCTCCTGAGTGGACCCGCAAACCACACTGTTTGCTTGCCACTGTCCAAACCCGAAAAGCTTCAAGTCCATGAACTCAGGGAGTGAGCCTTGTGTTTTCTACCCGCTTCGGATCTCGTCTCCGGAGGCTCTCTTGCGTCTCGCTGGGTGCCCCGGGCCGCACCCATCTTCCGAGGCCCTCGTGGCTTGGTGCCCCAGAGGGAAGAGCTGTACCTCGGCGACCAACAAAATGGGCCAAGCCCTTCCCTCCCCCCCGGGGGTAAAAGTTAGTAGGCCTCAGTACTTAGTAGGGCTTAGTATCGCTTGGTAAGGCAAGGCGCAAATGTCGAAGCAGTGTTTGGCTCGTCTGCATTTTCTTGCTTGCGGTGTCCTGCAAGAGTTTAGCCATCTAAATGCTTGGCCCCACCCGTCAGCCCATCACTCCCTGCGACAGCGTCTCTAAGTCGTCAGCTGCCGGATGAGCAACCCAGGGGGGGGGGCTACGTCTCAGGCCAACAAACCTGTCACCTTGGTGCCGGTGGACGGAAAACCTGGGTACTTCAAGCTGGTGGACCTCCCGGACTTGTTTCCAGTCCTTCCAGCGTCGGCGGCCACCTTGCTGAGAGACATCACGGTGGAGGAGGCGGTCTCCCTGTTTTACAAGTTTGTTGGGAAGAACCTCACGGAGGACCTGGTGATCCGCATCTTGGAGGCGTACGTCCCGATGAAGATCCAGCTCCGCCAGGAGGAGGTCTGGGCTTCGCAGTTCCAGAGGAACAAGGCGTGTATCGGCACGATACACGCCTTGTTCCTCTGGAACTGCGAAGCCCAGACCTCCTCCTGGCGGAGCTGGATCTTCATCGGGACGTACGCCTCCAAGATGCGGATCACCAGGTCCTCCGTGAGGTTCTTCCCAACAAACTTGTAAAACAGGGAGACCGCCTCCTCCACCGTGATGTCTCTCAGCAAGGTGGCCGCCGACGCTGGAAGGACTGGAAACAAGTCCGGGAGGTCCACCAGCTTGAAGTACCCAGGTTTTCCGTCCACCGGCACCAAGGTGACAGGTTTGTTGGCCTGAGACGTAGCCTTCTGAGAAGCCGCCACAAAGCCCTTCAGTCTCTTCGTGGGTGGCGTCTGCGCCTCCTCCGGTGGTGTGGCCCGCTCCGTGCCGTCCGCATCCCCCATGTCCCTGTCGCCCTCCTCGGCGGGGCCAGGGGCACCCAAGCCGGGAGTCGGTGTGGCAAATGCCACTTGGAGACGCTCCAGTGCACTGGAGAGGTCATTCATCACATCGGTCGCCGAAGCTGACGGGGGGGCCTCGGGCTCGTCCAAAACCAAGCCGGCCGCCACTGCCGCCTCCCGTGTGCGAATGTCCTGGGCCTCCTGGCTGGCCATTTCAACCTCCTCCACGGTGAGTGTCTGGTCCTCAATCAACTCAAAGGAAGTTGCCGAGGTTGCCGAGGAAGCCATTGCTTGGTCGGGGTTAAGTTCGAAAATGCAAAAGATCAAAGTTTTTCAATCAGCTTGGGTTCCAGGAACCCAGAGCAATGCTTGAGCCAAAATGGCACATGCCATTATGGTCAAGCATTCCACACACAGTTCATGTTTCCACATGCGTTTCAACATTAACAAATCTTTATGGCAAAGTTGTGACTTGGTACTCGGAAATGACTCAGTAGCGACTCACTACGTAGCACTCAGATCTGCACCTAATATGCAGATGTTGCTCACACTTCTTTCCCCATCACTCGGTAGTGACTACACTCAGAATTCCGGTGAATTGAGTGCAGCATCTACGGGACAAAAGCAACGACCTCTTTCACATACGGTAGACAACTCACGCTCTCTCGCTAGGCCTCCGTGTTGTGTATTGCCGGAGTTCTCAAATCTCCTCTGAGCCCTTTTTGTCCGAGAAAAGCAATGTGCTAAGGTTGCAAACGAAACCCGAGTTGAGCTCAGGACGACACCGAAATGAAACCTCGTGGTTTTTTGCCGGGATCGCCGTTCGATGCAAACCCAAATGATCCCGCTGTGGAAGATATCCCAAATGAACCTGTGCTAGGGGTTTCAAACAGACCTAACATCCGGGCTGTTCAAAATGGAGGCTTGGCCAATCCTAATCCAGAACCCCCAAAAAGAGAAGCCACAGGGACCGGTTACCGGTTCCTTGCGTTTTCCAAGGTAACGATTAAGCCCAAACGGTGAAGCATGTCCGTGCCCAAACCTCTGGACTGGTGGTTCGATGCAACCAGCAATCGCTACATCGGACATCACTACAGATTTACCCCCCCCCCTCGATCGATCTTGCCAAACAAAACTAAGTTTTGAGAATCATAAGCTCCCAAACGACTGCCTGATGAAACTACTTTTTAGTGGTGAATCTTGATTCTCTCCCACACAAACTAGATGTTGGCAGCCCTGAAGCCAAAGGACGAACTCAAACTCTCACAATCTCTCACAGCACCATTCGCCTCAAAAAAGGGGACCCCAAATGGGTAGTTGGTGATCTTTCCTTAGGGTTTCCCTTTACAACCTGAAAAGGGCACAGTACCCTCCTGAACAAAAACACGCACACCCGCAGGTGGGAGCTGTCAACAAAACCCGGGTTGCTATCCCCCCAAGGCCAGCTGGGGCCGCCCGCTGGACCGCAAGCAGCTCTTGCCTGAGACCATGGTGGGATCCCGCATTCCCTGTCCATAGCTGGACCAACCTGCAAGGGAAATCTGGTGGCATTGAGGATTCACTGTGAACAACCCGACTAGCCTAGCTTAGCGTGAGAGTGATAGAGTCACTTTGTCACACTGGGCGGCTCCATCCCAATGTTGAGCAAAGGTTGTACTTTTGAAGTAATCCAAAGGAGACCGTTGTACTGTGAGTCAAATAGCATCCAGTCTGGCTGTCTGTGCTCTTCGGCTAAGTTCAAGTCCTGCAGGAACTTCCTTTGGAGAACACCCCGATTATTCCATATTTATTCGTATTCGCAGGAGGTACTCATTACTCAAAGTTACCAGCCTGAAAAAACAAAACTCCCCGAACAACAAGCCTTCCGCATGGCTGAGATCGACCCTGCGTGTGAGCTCGCAATTATCCTCAAATGATTCCCTAGGTGCTTGCCCCAGCTTTTCCCCCATACGAACACGTGCTTGCGGCTCCTTGCTAACCTGAACCTGCATCATAGCTTCAATGCGCTCGAGTTTTCCCGCGCCTCGCCAATTGCAGCGCATGCACCTGCAATTGCAATTGGGTGAAATAATGTTGTCAACATACTTTGGGTAGATGCCCCCATTTATTATTGGTCAGAAGAAGGCTCCGGGTAGGTTTGAACTCATAGTGCAAATCAGTGTATGACTCTCCTTGGCGGAGGGTGCTTAGCTTGTCCATTGTGTATAAAGCACCTTGTAGGGGACCAATCATTTCCCATCAAACAGATCATCCTGCTGGTTTGACTTCTCGGGACTCGCGCGAGCTCAGAATCCAAAATATGGATCCCAACTGGTAGGTTTGCTCAGGCCAGGGGGTATCCCATTGGCTTGCTGTAAGGGCTGAGACAAACCCACTGAGTAAAAAACCCTAGGGCTCCTACATACAACCCATATAAGGGTACCGAAAACTACCTTGAGGCGGGTTTAAGGTCCTGCAGTTGCCACGCATCTTTCACTTGTGGTCCTCTCCAGGTGGAACCATGAATCGAAGGGGCCAGAGTCCCGCTTCGAACAAATTCCATCAGTAGGAGGGACAGAAAGGGAGTATCCAGAGGCCGGTATCTAGGGAATTTTCCTAAATGCGACAGGGCTCTTTGTATTTTCCCTGTAGACATCACCCCACCAAACGGAAACTCACTCTGAATTGACACAAAAGGTGATGTTTAAAGCCAGCAAAGGAGGACATATGGGAGATCCAGTGCAAGGCATGAATACCAAATCATGTTGATTTTTGCCGAAGGCCGCCAACATTTCAGCGGTGTTCAAAACCTTGCGGCCGAAGAGACCTATCAAACCCCTTCGGCGAGGGCGTGCCGAGCTGCCCCGGCAGATTTTGCTTTCACGGCGGGCTTTGATGGGGCAATCACGAAAAGGGCGCTTTCGTGGACTGAGACTTGGGTTGCATTTCTTCCAATTTCGCGTAAACAAACAAGTTCCTCCGCGGCCCCGCCATGGCTTCTCGGGTAGAGGGTGGGAAATTGCAGGGCCCCATGAGCCCAGCGCAAGGGTTCCGTGCCTGCGACATGGAGCTGTCGATCCTCAGAGTGCGTCTCCGCAGAATGCGAAGTTCGCTGAATGAGGCTTTGCTCGTGTTTGTCTTGTACATGTCGTTCAATGTCCCAAGGGTCATCAAACTAAAAAGTCACACACACAACAAAGACACAGACACAGACACAGACACGGACACGGACACGGCCACAGACACAGACACAGACACAGATACAGACACAGACACAGAGACAACACAGAGAAACAAAGACACAGAGACACAGAGACAGAGACACAGAGACACAGATAGACACAGAGAGACACAGAGAGACACAGAGAGACACAGAGAGACACAGAGAGACACAGAGAGACACACAGAGACACACAGAGACACAGAGAGACACAGAGACACAGAGACACGGAGACAGAGAGACACAGAGACACAGAAACACAGACACACAGACACACAGACGCACACACACACACACACACACACACACACACACACACACACACACACACACACACACACACACACACACACACACACACACACACACACACACACACACACACACACACGCACACACATCTGGGAGTAACTGAAACTCGTCCCGGAGCAGAAACCCCCAGATTCTGGGGCTTCTCCTGTAAACGACTCAGCCAACGGGCCTGGAGCTCGGGTTGCGCACGGGCTGCCTAAAGCCAACAACCTTCGACTCGTGCCGATTTTTTTTTGTTTCACGGCCAGCGGCAGGCATGGCACCTTGTGTGCCGGGTTGGTCGATTAAATCAAATTCCTGAACAGGCAAGTGTGTCCTAAACTGGAAAAACTGGATTTGAAACCAACAGGGGAACATAAAACATATTGTCAAGTAAATGGAAGTAAACTCAGGGGAAAACAAATAGAAAACAATCGCCTAAAAGCACGGATCCAGTTTTAGGAAACACTTGTTTGGTGCTAATTAGCTAGTGTTCTGTCATTTGTCAGATTCTTTCATTTGTCAGAATCCAACTCCGAAACATGTATGCTAGCTAGTTTCTGTCGTTCCTTCAGAGCTCGAGCAATCCGCAGCCTTGTCCAGGGTTGTGGCAAATAACCATTTGTGTGATAGAGAAGTCGGTCATTCCCACAACTAGGAAGGCTCGCCGAAGGTATTATAGACGCAGCCCAAAAACATATTCCCAGAACCCTGTCCTGCGTGTGTGTGTGCGTGGTGTGTGTTTGTATGTGTGTGTGTATTTATTGAAACCCAACAAGCGACTCTTCGCAACGGCCAACTATGCGGGGGGGAGGGGGGAGGGTTCGGTAGTCCAAAATATGAAGGCACAGCATGACACCGAATCGGGTTCCGTGAAGGGGTCCATATATCTATGACAACCCCTGTGTGGGTGACTTCTAAATTTAAAGTGGCCTAGTGTTGGTTGATCGATGGGGTGTCCTTCTCCATCAGGTTGATTCCGTGGTGAAATGTAACGACTTCAACCACAATCCTCTCACAAATGAAACGGGTTTGATCTCTAAGAGGAGCCCCAAGGTTGGTTTCCCTTTCCAATAAACCCAAGGGTACTCTCAAAAAAGGACACCCATTTGCCTGGAAATACGCTACAAAGTCGGCCATTTCGCACCGGAAATACTCACAACCCCAGCTTTTGCCTCCCAGAATTCATATTCAATATGACTCCTGTAACATTTATGTTTTGTTACGTTTTTTTTACACATCGGACATGCACTTGAAAGCAGGGGGTGCAAAAAGCCGTACTAAAATCGTATTAGAAACCGTATTCAAATCGTATTGAAATCGTATTAAAATCGCACAAATACGGTTTTAATACAAATTAATTACGATTTCAATACGATTTCAATACGATTTCAATACGATTTTAATACGATTTTAATACGATTTCCATTAGTTTACTGTTTTGTTGAAACGAATTCCAATTTCCTGATCCCATATCGTAAAATATCGTAAAACCGGCGTAACAAAACCATGTTTTCCAATCATATCAAAATCGTATCTAAATCGCACAAAACAATAACTGGGCTTCCCGTGACTTAGCCTACACCGTGGGTCACAATCATATTGATTCAGGTCCGCATTTTTAGTGAGCCGACACTGAATTTGTTCCTTTTTGTCTACTTCATGTGCAAACCGCAAAAAAACAGGGACATCCCCCAGTTTGGGAAGAAACAAAGCACAAAAAAACACGAGCGCCTCGTGCTTCGGCGACCAGCTGGTGCCCTGGTTGGTGTGCTTCTCCCTAAAGAACTTCTCCGCCAAGAGCGCGGCGCCGCAGCCGTTGGTCACGAAGAAGAGCCAGGGGCCCACAAAGGGGATCAACTCCTCGGATTTTTCCCCAACAGCTGAAAGCTTCAATATATTAATACATTAATAAAGATGAATATTATAATGTAATTATAATATTGCTTAAGTATTCTTTATTTATTATAGTTTCCCAACAGCTGAAAGCTTTGGGGTCTCAGCCCAGATAGGCTCCGGGGTGGTCCGGGGCGGCCCTGAGGTAAGGTTCCACGAGGGTTCCACCAGGCTTCCACGAGGGTTCCACGAGGTTTGCCGCATGCTGTTGGGGATATCACCAGAGCTTATGTTTCGCTCGTCTAGGGCTCAACCAATTGGGCCATGGGTCAATAACCTGTACGGATGAACACCCATGTACCACCTATTTTGATGTTCATTAGGGGTACGGGGCTTCGACCCACAGCCATTTAATAGGTCTACCCGAGATCGATTTTGGGGTTCCAAATTGGATCAAGTCTAGGGAAATGATTGAACAAATGGCTTGGGACCCAGTTGGGAGGATGATCCCAGGAAAACAGAAGAGCCCCTCATCGGGGGTGGGTTTTTTGAAACATAGGAATTGTGTAGTTGTTCTTGTGTTTGTATAACACTGTTCAGAAAACTGCAGCAAACCACGAGAAAACCAACAACAACAAAATCAGACCTGATGTATCCATGCTGGCCGAGTTAGGATCTGGTTTCCCCCCGATGTGTTGTTTTTTGTTGTTTTTTTTGTTGTTGTTGTTGTTTGAACAGTGTAAAGCGGGTCGAGACAACCAACAACACAAATAAAAGCATCACATCAGACAAAATGTGTCCATGCCCGAGTCTGACTTGTGGGTGTTGGTTTGGTTCTTGAGGTTGGGGTCAGAAAACAACATATCTATATATATATATATACACTTAAAAAAAGGGAACGCAAACAACAACAAGACACATTTCTCCAAGAGGTCGGCGCTCGCCTTCCGCGGCCGAGGGTCAATCACCATGGCCACGGCGCCGAAGCCGACGAAGGCGCCGAGGCGGGCGCAGACGAAGCGGCGCTGCGGCGCGCAGCCGTGGCGCTCCTCGGAGTAAACCATGAACTCCGCCAGGAGCTCCCAGGCGTAGAGCCAGCCTGGGGGGCGAAGAAAATGAAGCGAAAACGGGGGGAGGGGTCAAAAGGAAGATTCCGGGGTTGAGAGACTGAAATGGAGGCTACATTATATCAACCTCCGGGAAGGAAGGAAGGAAGGAAGGAAGGAGGGAAGGAAGGAAGGAGGGAAGGAAGGAAGGAAGGAGGGAAGGAAGGAGGGAAGGAAGGGAGGGAAGGAGGGATTCCTTCTGAATCCCCAGCTTCAAAACGAGGTCTTAATCAGTGCCCTTGGCAGAGAGAGAATTGCACTTCAAAAAGGACGACTTTCGTAATAAGTTTCTTAGAGCCAACATTACCAAAATAGCTAAAACGGAGGCTGTTTGTTCTTTGCCATTTGTCGTCGACTTGTGGCTGGTTGCCTAAATAAGGCTAAGAAGTGAATGGGGTCGTGAGGCGCTATCAGTGATTCAGACCGTTGGCCAGCACTACCAGGGGGCAGGATTGAATTGGGCTTCCCATTAAACCGAGAAGGGTACCCTCAAGCAGAATGCCTCAGTATCGACTGTCCATAAGCCACTGGTTTGCCGAACACCCTATCATTCTTCACTTTCTTGAGGTGAAGACCTCCAGAAGCTTCAGGGGCCCTGGCGTGTTTTGAGGTCAGACTCGTGCAATAGGTTCAGGTATGCAAGTTCATATACGTTCTTGCAAGATCTTGCAAGTACATAGGCTCTTTACACAAACTGGCAATTCTTGGTGTCAAACAATCAGCTCGCCGAGTATCCGTTCACCAAGACCCACGCCACTTGCCCGAGCACCGGGATGGTGTGCAACGGCAGCGTGAGGATCATCAGGGGTATCCTGCACGGAAGGAAGCCTCCTTTCAGCATGGGGTCATGTAAGCATTTTGCAAGGGTCAGAAGGGGACGCCAGGTGAGTTGAGGCTATCGGCTTTTGGGGGCTAGCTAGACGCCACTCAACAAAGTTCTGAGTTGCGTGCATCACATGATCCTAGCGTGCACCAGGCAGAACCCGTTTTGGGTCACCCGTTCTTTTGCCCGGGGGGAGGGAAGGACGAATCCAAAACAGGCCTTGGCTGGCACATGTTGGGACCCGAACACCTTTGCCATGCCGTGCCACAAACAAACGGGTTCCCAAAAAGGTGAAAGCTGGACAGCGCAATAGCTATGATCAAAAAGCGCTGGTAAAAGTCAGCCACCAAGGAGCGTGTCCTTCCAAGCAGAAAAAGGAGCGTGTGCCCGGTATCTCTGCAACAGGTTGGTTGTGGCAAATCTTGCCCGCGCTCGGCACATTCTGCCCGCAAAGTCTGCATGATTCCTTTCTCTTCCAGGATTGTGCGCTGTATGTTGGACTGCACACACCCAAAGAGCACGACCATGAGGATGATGTTCACCAGCGCAGCTTCTGCGAACACCAAAAGAAACGACGCGATCCGGGCGCTCCACTCTGGCCATCCTATGCTCATGAAATACTCGGCTTGCGGGTGAAACCCGAAGCTGAACAGGCCAATGAGGGACACAACGGTGCTGATCACACACACGATGAGTGGACATATCGCTTGTTTCCAGAGGTGAGGTCTGCGGAAAAAGGCAGCGATGCCTGATATCGGCAGCACCGCCGCGGAGATGCCCGCCATGGTTCACACATACGTCTTGAAGCCTATCGAGCCATTGAAATAAAAGCAATGAGTTTGCGATAGTTACTCCTTGTTGGTGCTTCCTCCTAGTCTAGTTCTGGTATATATCGTATTGGATTGGCGATGGCCCCTTAAGCCTTGGTGGACATGATGGCACGGGGATGTTCACCAACCATTTCGAGAGGAGTCCCTCTTGGAATTCACGGCATGACTGCACTGACTACGCCAAAGACTTGGGCAATCAAATCCCTTATCGAAGCGAGCGCAAGCCATGGCCAATTGGGCTAGGACAAAGAAGAGGTTGCGAACAACAATTAACAGCTAAATGAGCAAAGCACACTACCGCAGAACCCGATGGAAAGAAGCCCGGATAACTTTCTCAAAAACCGGTGAAGTCCAATCACTGCACCAAATCTCATTCTGTCGAACATATAGATAGCCAATCGAAGGGACACCAAAGGACACCAAGTCCAAATTTCTACTGGGCTTGGTCACGCTTACTCTGCACAGAAAGTGAAAGTTTGAGGCTTGGGCCCAATTCTTGACCCAGTTGCTGTGAGACTCAAAGAATCTCAAAGACGTTGACTTGCTGGGTGTGCTTTGAGTTTTCTTTTGCAACAACAACCGAAGGGGTCGCTCAATCAGATTCTGGAGGTATGTTTCCCGCCCCATTTTTGGCTTTGATTTGGAGATCTTTGATGTTCGACTTTGCGGGAAGTTCACCCCTACAAACCGCAGAAAACAAATGATGGAATCTACTTCGCGAAGACCTGTCATTGGGGCTGCCGGCTGCCCGCGCGGGTCAAGTTCGGAGGCCAGAAGTTCGTGTTTTCCCGCTCACTTGCTGTCCATCCCAGGCAATCACACCGATGGATCACTTCTCGAGCTCACCCTTGCCGAACATCCCCAACCTTTGCCAAAAACCAGAACCACCCAAACCTCAAGCGACTCAAGCACACCTCAAAAGTTCAAATCCCAAGCCTTCAGGCGCCCTATGGGAAGTGGGCCAGAACCCAAAATGGGTGTGAGCAAGGTTGAAGATTTTCTCCCCTGGCTCTCCCAGTCCTTTTGTTTCCTTGTGTCTCCCTGAACACCCCATCCCCCAAAAAAAACAGAGACACACTTTAGGGCATTTTCTCTTTGGCAGCCAACCCCCCAAACCCAGGCAAAAAAAAACAAAAACCTCCGGCAAGGGGAACTTCCTTCAAGGTCGAGACAACCCATAGGAAAAACCAATAGCAACCACGGCCCACTTCGCACTTCGCTGGGGCTTCGGCTTCTTGGGGTTCATGCCCTCCCCATAGGCCATGAACTCCAAGCCCAGGAAGTTCGAGCGCAGCTTCCCTGAACGACCATTCGCTTCACCGACGCATTCGCGTCGCGTGGGGGGAATGATGGTTACAAAACCCCCGGTGTTCGCGCCGGCTGCGAATTTTCCTGTGTGGAACAGATCTAGGTGAACACAAGGAAGCACACACATGCAAAGCGAACGCCAACCACAATGTGCTTGCCTGTTGGCGTGCTTGTCTGTGTGTGCTTGTGTGCTTGTGTTTGTGTCTGTGCATGCTCATTTGCGTGCGTGCGTGCGTGCGTGCGTGCGTGCGTGCGTGCGTGCGTGCGTGCGTGCGTGCGTGCGTGCGTGCGTGCGTGCGTGCGTGCGTGCGTGCGTGCGTGCGTGCGTGCGTGCGTGCGTGCGTGCGTGCGTGCGTGCGTGCGTGCGTGCGTGCGTGCGTGCGTGCGTGCGTGCGTGCGTGCGTGCGTGCGTGCGTGCGTGCGTGCGTGCGTGCGTGCGTGCGTGCGTGCGTGCGTGCGTGCGTGCGTGCGTGCGTGCGTGCGTGCGTGGTGTGGGTGGGTGGGTGGTGTGGGTGGGTGGGTGTGTGTGTGTGTGTGTGGGTGTGTGTGTGTGTGTGTGTGTGTGTGTGTGTGTGTCTGTGTCTGTGTGTGTTTGTGTGTGGTGTGTGTGTGTGTGAGTGGTGTGCGTGTGTGTGTGTGTGTGGTGTGTGATAATTTGCAGACATGTCCAAAGTTGAAATAATAGCGAACAGTGCTCGCAAATCTGAAAAGCGATCGCTGGAGTGCAAAAGCGGTTGTTTCCGAGAAAAAAAAGAAGCACTCTTTTGACACACAATGGAGGTCACCTATAGGTATGTGTTGGTCTGGGAAGTGTGTCTTTAGTGCGTTGTCGTTGTTTGTGCTTTCGCTGGGTTTGCGTGTTTGATGTGTGTGTGTGCTGATGTGTCTCAGTGTTTCTGAAATTGTTTGTTTCTGTGCTTGCGTGTGTGTGTGTGTGTGTGTGTGTGTGTGTGTGTGTGTGTGTGTGTGTGTGTGTGTGTGTGTGTGTGTGTGTGTGTGTGTGTGTGTGTGTGTGTGTGTGTGTTGTGTGTGTGTGTGTGTGTGTGTGTGTGTGTTGTGTGTGTTTGTTTGTGTGTGTGTGTGTGTGTGTCTGTCTGTCTGTCTGTCTGTCTGTCTGTCTGTCTGTCTGTCTGTCTGTCTGTCTGTCTGTCTGTCTGTCTGTCTGTCTGTCTGTCTGTCTGTCTGTCTGTCTGTCTGTCTGTCTGTCTGTCTGTCTGTCTGTCTGTCTGTCTGTCTGTCTGTCTGTCTGTCTGTCTGTGTGTTTGTTGGTCCGTTTGTAAGTGTATGCATGATTTGTATGCGTGTGTGCTTGTTTTGCTTCAAGGATGATGAAATCTGCTTTAGAGGACGCCTTGTCAACAGATTTGGATTTCGGTCGAGTGGCAGGCCCCTTTGCCATGCCGAATTCGCATCCCAGGCATCACGTGATGCCGCGCCTAGGAATGCTTCCTCGTCTTTGCCCATGTCGTCTGTTCTGGACATGGTGATGACCTGAGTCAGTTCAAGGGTTTGGATCAGGTCAGCTCCTGTGGCTGTGCACCGTATCTTGCCTGCGTGTTTGTTGGCGAGCATGACAGCAACACCCAACCAGAAATCCCTTCCTCACAACAAACAAAGGTCACCCATGGAGAAAAGAGCTTTCCGAGCCGCGGCAAGAAAAGACAACTCTCTGCCGACGCCCTTTGATGTCTTTCTGGCCGTGTAAATCAACAAAGGCCGAACCAGTCTGCACCAATTCCAAATGAATTCAGGTTCTCGGACAATGCGGCATTGACCGAAGACCAAGAGGACCGATTTTTCTACTCATTAAACGCTACCCTAGGAAGGGTCTGGATCTCCTTAAGGGATTGGACCTCAAAAAGGACCCGTTTTGCGTCACAGATTCTTAGGGCAACATCATCTACTCAACTCATCATGATTAGAGTTTGGCCCAATTATAGAATGCATATTGTCTTGTTTGCTTCACATGGAGTCACTGGCAAAATGTAAAATGTATCCTAAGTGTACCCCAGTCATGTCGCCAGCTCCTCCGACTGACGCGGCTGCAACTTTGCCCATCAACCGCTGGCCGTGTTGGGGGGAGGGAACCTCAGCGGGTTCCGTCGGTCACTTGCCACCTTCCATGTGCCGAGATCAAACCTTGGGTTATGGCTCCTGGAAAGATGGTCTGAACTCATGGGGCTGACCATCTCTTGCTTTGAATTAATTGGGTCTAGACTCTCCCAACTGGGCTAGTGTTCATTCAACGCCACGCAGGGCTGGCAACCAACTTAGGATCCCCTACCCATCTGCGCAAGACGCTCGGGGTCAGGATCACGGGAATTTGGACCCCCAAACCTGGTGGCCTTCCTTTGGGCTTCCCTTCACCTGAAAAGGGGACAACCATACCAAGAAACAACGGCTCGCCAGACGGGAAAAGCGGCAGCTCGTCAGATTCTCAGCGCGGGGCATATTTCGAAGTCTTGTTGTTCTTCTGCTTCTTGGCCGCCATCAGAAAGACCTCTCGACTCAAATTCCTCTTCCCCGCATCCGACAACTTGCTGGTGCGATAGGCAGGGAATGAGGGAATCAACCGTGTTGGTATTCCCTTAAACGAAACCATCAGGGATGGCTTATGGGGCAAAATAATGGCAGGGAAGGGGTCCCGAGTTTCCTTTTGGCCGCGTGATGATTCCCGGGGAACAAGAGGGGAGCACTGTTGGGTGAAAATACTTCTGGCGACCGCTTTGGGCCCCTTTTGCCCGATTCTGCCGATGTTCTGTTCCGTTTTTGGGAACTATAGTGCATAGGCCTTGTAGAGATCCCACCCGCTCCCCCTCCAATGGAAAGTCTTGTCTGCTGAGGGCATCAAACAAAAAACACGCCGGAGAATCAAGCTCTTTGCGCCCGGCGCCGGAGTCGGTCTCCAAGATGTACTTGGGGAAGAGCTTGCTGAGGCCCGCCTTGTCCCCTCAGAGAGCACAGTTGACAGCATAGCCAGAAGAGAACAGCTGGTTTCCAGTACTTCTAAGCCATTATCGTAAGGGGAACAATGCCAAACCTTGAGATATACCAAAACAAATGGTTACCTACCATAGTGGCAACTGGAAGCATTCTATTCAAAATGGAACCTGCCGGGCAATTGTGGTGAATTCCGATTTCCTATGGAAACAATGGCAATACAACTATTCGGGGTTGCTCTTTCCGCCTAACGCCAGGGTAGCATTAATTCTCAAAACCATGAGCAACCCTTTTGCTTGGCAGAGGGGACCGGTTCCTCTCTCAGAAAAAAAAAGAACAACAGAAGTAACAATATGCCATCCACTGGACAACCACCTGATGTGGATCCAGCATGTAGATTGCACGGTTTCAACCAAATCACTGGGACATGAAGGCTCAACTTGTTGCTGCTTACTTGAAATCACTAGGCATCCAAAGTGCTACGTGGAGGTACGCATACGCGTACATGCAAGTGGAATTGTGAGCATGTATCTATCGGCAGCGAGACGGAGCATTCAACCCCCAATCAAGCATTGCACCATTCAAGACCTCTCGAGTCATGAAACGACAATTGTTCATCCCTTCTGTCGGGACCCTTGCTAGGCCCAGATTGAAGCTTTTAAATGCATGACTTAAGTCTGAGATTATCGAGAACATGACTCAGCATGATTGAAGACAAACAAAAAACAACTAGCAACAGTACAATGCCTCCCCCTTAGAACCACCATGGAAGCCGGGCAGAGTCCCTCTACAAGACTTTATCTTCACAAGTGTCGCTTCTCTGGTTCCAATGTTTGTGTCCAACGTCTTCTGCGCTTTTCTGCACGACTCCCCCTTGAACTGACAGCTACGCCAAGTCTGCATTTTTCCGCGCGACACAGCGCGAGAAGCGACCTGCCGGCATGCTGTCCAGTTTCAGACAGCGTGCCCTCGATGTTTGCATTGACAAGCGGCTACCGGCTTTTGCAGCGGCCACATCTGGGTTGTTAGTTGTTCTATAGGACTTGCCTCGAGGAAAACATGGATCAGACATCGCTGACTGAGGATCTACGAGAAGTTATATCGATGCTTACAACATAGCCTTCATGGTTGCGGGCCATACATGTAGAATTCACCACCAGCTGCTTGATTTGGCTGTGGACACGAGAGTCGAAAAGGAGCGCTCTGCCCTACACAGTGTGTGCTTTTGCCGTGAAGAAGAGGGTGCGGGCGTTTCCTGAAACAAGCCACCCGTACAACACACGGAGGGTTGTTTGAAAGTATCTTTTTGCTTGTTTCAAAGTGAAACACAATGGACTAGCAACGGCGGCCGTTTGCTCTCCGTACCGCCATGTGCCAGATACACACATGGCACCGCCGTTTGTTCAAGCTTCCGGCTTCCACAGCCAAACCAAAGAACAGAACTACATTCCACCCTTCAGCTTGTACTTTCCTCGGGCGTTCGGCATCAGCCCAGATGCACCCGGGATACGCCCCGGTAGTAGCCCGGGGCACTTTGGTGCGCATGCGGCGCCCGCTTCTCCCACAGGTACCGCAGCTGCGCCTCGTACCTTGGCAAATATGGCTGGGACAAAAATCAGTAGCCCAAATGGCTTGCCCTGGTAAATGGAAAGAAGGACTAAATCTTGCGGTCCCCTGGCGGTTTTATTTTGACCCATACCCATACTTATTTGGTTACCCGGCTTCGAACACATTTGGGTATGGCTCAACATTAAGGAGCTACAGTTATGCAGGTTTTAGTCTTCGTTCCATTTACTGAGGTGCCATTTTGGTACCACTTTTTTGAGCCACTGCCATTTACGGTCTTGGGTTTTTCAAAGACTTGTCAGCTGCAAAATCCCACATCCGCAAATATGAGGTGTTCGGACCTTCCGAGAAAACTTCCAATTGGGGCGTCCTGGCAGTGTCCCAAGAATCTTGAGACCTCCCTTGGAGCGTTATGTCCCAGAACCAAGTGAAGGTGTTGACCTCTCCTGGCCGCAGGGCGCTTCCCATCATGTTTCCCCAAAACATGACTTGCTGGTTTGATAGGCAGGGAATGAGCAATGGAATGAGCGAGCCCAAGAAAACCATCCCCGATTTGGTTTCCTTTGAGGGAATCCCGAGTTTCATTCCCCAACCCTGGATCATTCCCGCGGAGAACCGGCAAGATGAAGGTCGACTGTGGCCTACTCTAGCTGGAGATTGTTTGGTGGTCCGAAGTGGGCTTTGGTCTTCAAAGACTTAGCACTACCTAAGGCTGCATGTAGCACATGTCTGGGTTTTCCGTGCGGCTGGCTATGCCGCTGCCAGTGGCCTTGCTGCTTTTTTCAGATGCCTCCGAGCCCCAAGTCGAGCTCATGTGAGCCTTGCCAGCTGCTTCCACTGCCTATTTGAGGCACCCGATAAATGTGGGTGTTCCTTTGGTTTCCCTCACAAGCAACCCCGAGAAACTGCCCACAACAAAAAGAAAATGCAAAACTGTTAATTGCAAAGGGTCCTTTGGTTGTGATCCGGCTCGCCCAGTGTTGGAATACCCAAACCATGATTCACTCCCTTGAGCCTAGACACAGCCCGCGGCCTGGGTGCTCTTTAGATCCTTCGGGCCCACTTAGGCCCCAAACATAGGAGATAGGGGGTTCTGTGAAAAAGCATACCCAACACAAAGGATAGGGAGGATTGTCAACACATTTCGTGGTGACTTTTGGACTCCAGTGGTTGATCCAAAATCCCCGTGACCCAATAATCGGCAAACCGCGCGAAAACAGAACTTGCCCACCCCACCACCCCCCCTCCACTCCACCCACCCCCGAACCAAACCTTCACAAACGCTTCACGTGTTCCAACCAAAACCCCACCCCCGCATCAGTTGGATAAACTTTGGAAAAACCCAACAACCCCCTCCCGAAATTTCGGACTCCGAGGCGCACAGAGTCGCTGGTCTCCCCTGCAGCAGTGGCCACCAATCCGTGGAAGTCCAGCCAGTTCTGGCGACTCACCGACCTCTTTTTCGGGTCCAACAAAACACGCGGGGCTGTTTGAAATGGTTTGGGTTGGATGCAAGTTTTCATAATCCCTATAAGAAATTCACTACAGAAGGGACCAAATCCTTGCGCAACCCAAGGTAAACTAAGGATTACCTTTGAACAGCCGAGACAGCTGGGGCTTGGCGACATTAGGGGTGTCTCAAAATAGGATTTGGAACCCTTTCTGTGCAAAAAAAGGAAACCTGTGTCCCGGCAAGCCCCCCCCCCCCCCCCAACCTCAATGTTGCCAGAACTTTTGTTTGCAATGAAACGCAATAGCTGCGTGCAACACAACATTGAGGTTGGGGGGGGGAGAGTTGGGTTGTTTATCTGCATCCTGCGTTGTGGCAGCCACCGTGCATCCATCCCACAACAGTTGGGGACCTATGCAATTCTAATGAAGATCCAGACCAATGACACCTGGGAACGCAACGATTGCCAGTCTGTAACCTAGATTCACTTCGGGTTTGCCAGCCTGCGCACAGGTCTGCCAGTGGCAAATCCCGAGATCTGGGCGTGCACAAGACCCAAACAGCGGATGATGGCAATTTGGGTCAAACCTATGCTCCAAGTATTTGGGCGGTTCCTGTTCTGTTGGAACTGCAGGGGCCGAATTTCCTGCGTCCACAAGGAGCAAGATTTTCCCTCGCTTGGGGGGAGCCACAAGGACGTCCCTTACATGGCTGCTTATCCTTGGTTTTCCCTTTCTTTCATTTTTTCGCATTTCCCAGCCATATCTATCCTTTTGAACCAGAAAATTAGCCATCCTCCCTCAAGAGGCTTGCTTCGCTTCCCATCATTCAAACGCCAGGGAATGGTGGTGTTTTTTGTGTCCAATCACCGTACTGTCTCAGATATGTTAAACCACAGGGTTATACGCCAAGCAGAAACGAGAGGGGAAACTTACAATCCCAGCAAACTGACCTAACACGCACACCTATGTTCCAACTAGACGACCCAAATTGAAACCACAGCTCATCATCCTGCCGACATTGAACCACGTTTACTTAGAAAGCACAATATATTAACAGCCGCATGATTCTCTTTCGATCATGACACAACTTGCTTCTTCAAGTATATCATCATTCTGGTTGTTTGAATGGTACAGACATATTTCTGCACATTGTTGCACTATGTCCGAAACCTGAGTACGGGATCCCCAAGTAAAATATCTTTAACATGAGCTCCTGTTACCCTCCGAATCGGTGAGCTCGCCACAAGCTCATGCTTTATCAACTCTGCTTAATAATATGGGGCTCTCCCCTCCAACAGTGATGAATCCCCACTCAAACCAGGGAGACGCACCCCTATAATAATAAACAGGGGCTTATGAATCCGGGGTCAACCGGACGTAGATGTTTCCCCACGACCTTCGATGTCCGTCCCGGCCTCTCGCCGAAGGCCGCCCGGGCGCCCGCGGGCAGCGGCCGGTCGCTGAGGTCCAGGACACCGCGCCCGGCCTCGGACAAAGCATCCCTAGCTGTACGGTGAAATTGGGTGCCCGTATATCCCTGGCAAACGAGCAAGTTCCTCACACGAGTAGGCTTAAAATAGACTTGGCTGGTGCCCTTATAACCCGTGGCAGATTGTAAGCAGCCTATTACTGGGGGTCCTGCTCCGTAAGCAGGGCATAACTGTGCTGTTGAGGGTGGGCTCATTGGTTCCGTTCTAAGCACGGTGAGGTTAACTTCTTGGTGCTTCTCGGAGTTCACAGCGAAGGTGTCTCTGCGCTCAACGCGACCTTTTACCTTCTTGGAATGTTGGAATCTACTTGGAACCTTCGGCCAACTTCCATTGCTAGAAATGGCTTCACTCAGAATACCTCTCACGCATCAGGTCCATGCCCTTGTTCATGTTTAGATATCTGAAAGCCAAACGCAGCTGAGATGCGCCGGAGACTTTGGCCCTTATGGTACAAAGTATGTCTATTGTGTATATATATATATACATATTAATATTTACTAATGGTTCGAGGTCCCTAAATAGGGCAGATAGTCATAAGTCATGATTGCACCAACCAATAAAGCAGCTTTGAACCATCAGGTGATTTGTGCTCTGTACATCTAATTGCCACAGTTGAGAATGTTTTTTGGCTGCGCACCCCTTGCCAGTTTGTTTCATGGAAAGCCAAAAGTACACCAACCATTTACAGCTCCAAATCGAACTTTTGACGCATACCCATTTCAAGTTCAGTCAGTGACCCGTGGGTTCGCACAAATTGCGTGGGTCCCCCGTTGACACGACCCACGTGCCACGCGCATTCGATCCAAGTGCCGCCAGCTCGTCGAAGAGCTGCGCGGCACAGTCTTGCCTCGAGTGCGATGGAGCCTGGCGCGCGATAGGCACAGTCCAGGCGGTCTGAGTGGAAAGGCTGGTGAGGCGGGGGTTGACGGAAAATGGGAACCACAACATGGTATCTTTCTTTTTCTTTTGTTTTTTTAACTGTTCTTTTTTCTCTCTTTTTTTTTTCTTTCTGGAGGTCATGAGGGTTGACTGATGGGGTTGACCACATAGTGGTCTCTCTCCGGTTTATCTCTGGAACGAAATTGGAGTGTCTCCGAAAGGATCGAACCCAGCGACCCATGGATGCGCGGTTGTCGGCAAAAGGTATTTTCCAACAAGAATGCACGCACACCCACACACCCACACACCCACACACCCACACACCCACACACCCACACACACACGCACACCCGCACACGCGCACACCCGCACACGCGCACACCCACACGCACACCCAAACACACAGGCACACAAACACACAAACACACACCCTCACACCTAACTTTCGAAAGCAACCCTGCTCCCCACCTCCAAATGCTTCAGGAAGGAGCGATAGTCCACACAGTCACCCCGCACCGGATCCTGGCAGCAAAGCAATAACTTGGAGATTGTCCAAACACCGGAGAATTGTGCCTTCTGAACTATCTTGGTAGGTAGTTCATGTCCTCTTTTAACATCACCCCACCAAAAAAACGCACTTTGAATTGGCCCAAAAGGTGATGTTTAAGCTTTGAACCAACCAACAGGGGGGAAATGCAGTGAACCCTGTAAGTTCTCGATATTCCAGCTGCCGCCACTTGGGGAGGCCCCAAATCTTCGGATGTGCTACTTACAAATCAGTACACTGCAAACACGGGAATGCATCAGAGCAAAACAAGGCGCAGTTTGACCAAAACCACCATCAGTTGTGGTGTCAGTAACTCCTTCTTGCAGGTCCAAAAGGGGGTTGCACGGAAGCTTCAAAAACAGGAAATGGACTCCAACAAAACAAGACAGTGGTCCATACCCAAGTGGTCCATGTCCAAGTTTAGGACTCCATCAAAGCTCAAAGAGTCACACAAGATTGACTGGGAGAGTCTCACTACCCATTGCGCAATTGGCTAATGGCTTCCACCGTTTTCCTTTTCACTGAAAGCGGGGTTGGACCAACCTCTGGTGCGCAATCGTTTTGCCACCTCTTTCCTCAGGAAGGATCTTGCAGGCAACTCTTTGTTTGAAGCATGCAACCGCCCGAGAGCGGTCGACGGGGGACCGAATTGGGCATGATTCTTAGTCAGCGATCCCTGCCCGGAACTAGTTCAATCACTACTTCAGGCTCAAACGTTTCTTGGTTTTCTGCAAGCAAGTTGAACCAGCTAGAGTTGAAATTACCCTTGAGATGCTCACCTCTGCTGGCTTCCCTTGAAAAGGCAAGGGTATGAACCAAGCTTAAGTGGAAAAGGGCAAACCCGCATGGATCAACTTTGACATTTGCCTCTTTGGCTGTCCGGGTGACCTACCAACCCATTTTTGTTGCTTCCAACCCATGAGACACCCTGGACCATTTCACACTCCGTGTCCGCCAGGTTGCTCCAAGAACCCAAACGAAAACCTCCAAGAAATCAAATAAAACCCGTGACCGATAAAGACCCAAGCTGAAACCAACAAACAGAAAGTTGAGGACCAACGGAGACCACGTCCCGTCCAAAATGTCTCGCTTGGATGCCGCTTGGACGCCTGGAACACCGCCCAGAGCGTGGCCAGGTCGCTGGGCTCCATGCTCGGCAGCAGCCGCAGCACCGCCGCCTGAAGGTCGGAACGCCGGTGATCCCCACGGGTGGCTTCGGGACAGGTATGGGTGTTCCTTGGGGAAAAACTGGGCTTCCTGGTCAGGGTTTCCCAGGCTCAATATGGGCTCCGTTTGCCTGGGGGTGTAAAGTAAGCAACTTGATTCCCTACAACCTTCTCAAGGCTCCCGGAAAGATGGACAAATTGACAATTGATAGGGTCGCTTCTTTGAGGATATCTTGTTTGGGTTGGTTTAAACGGAGGCCAGGACAACCACCAAGTTTGCTTGAATTTTGTGGGGGTCCCTTAGTCCCTTGGAGTCCCTGAAAGTGGATAATAATCTACACTTCCCCTTCTGAAGACATCTTGAATCTAGACCTGGACCCCGTTAGAGAACGGTTGGGCACTTTTCCGCGGGTTCCCGAAAAATCCACGAAACAGGGGAAGGCCCCAGCAAAGCTTGTTTGCCAAGGGGCAAACAGGACTGGAAAGCACGGCTCAAGTTTGAGGGATCCAGGCTAGTTTCCACTTGGCTAAAAAGCCGTACAAGAATACATGTATATACAAGTACAACACAAACACACGTGCGCACACACAAGCACGCACCCAGTCATAGGTGCGTGTCTGTTGGTGTGTCTGTGTGTACGTGTCTGCATGTGTGTCTCTGTATGTATAGTGTCTCTCTCTCTCTCTCTGTCTGTCTCTCTCTCTGTCTCTCTCTCTCCCTCTCTCGCTCTCTCTGTCCCTGTCTGTGTGTGTGCGTGTCGCTGTGTGGGTATGTGGGTGCGGGCGTGCGGGCATGCCTGCGTGGGCGGGTGTGTGCTTGCATGCACCTTTGCGTCTCCATCTGGCTTTCTATCTGCCTACCCACCTATCTATAGTTATGCATCCCGTCCGATCACATCAGCAACTGTTACTCTAACTCCAAAAAGCTGAACTACGGGTTCCCCAACTAAGGGACCTTTATCTTGTGAGCTCGTTTTACCTCCAGGTGAGCTCACAAAAAATAGGCAGATCCCATCCCATATGGGTTTGTACACACGGACACACGGACGCACGCGCGCAGAAGGCGCTGAAGTCTTGCGCCTCGAAGGCATCCTTTGGCACCTGCGCCGGCGGCCCGTCATCCCCGCGCCTGCCACAAACGAATTGGCCAACCCATCAACCGACCAACCGGCCAGGCAGACAGCCAAAGCAACAAACAAAACAAGTTGACCAACTATCAAACAAACAAGTAAAGAAACACAAAGGCAGCCCAGAAACAAACTCACCATCCGACGGAAAGTCGAATGCACTCCCTTCCCCTGCCTTGGGCCGGGCTGGTAGGTGCGCGTCACAATGTCACCATACCTGGGATCCAATTGGTACTGCGGGACGAAATCCTGCACCACTCGGGATAAATGAAATCCAGCAAATGGGATAAACCACCTACCAACTGATGCAGGATTTTGTCCATCTACAGGTCCTCTACGTCCTTCTCACGTGCCCCAGGGACGAGTAACTGGAAGTCGGATGAACCCGTTGGAACCTGGGGAGTTGAGGGTCCCGCGAACAAACCTGCAGTTTTCGGCAAAATTGTATTCGGAAGCCAGAAGCAACAGGCTCACAGATCGGTTGGTTCTGTGGGCAATGCAGAAGAAAGTCATCGAAATCGGAGAAACTATGAAGTTCACCAGCTGGTTCGCTTCTTCTCATCTTGTTTTTGCCTCCTGATTTCTTAAACCGCAAGCCGCCTTGGCCTTGAAACATGATAGTGTTGCCAAGCATGCGCCAACTCTGGTGAACACTTTTTGGCGAAACAAGAACATTGATTTCTTCGCAACACCCCCGACATCCAAGGTGTATCTGGATGTACCTGTGCCTGAAACATGATGTGGCAAATTGTTGTCTTTCGATGCGGGAGACAGTGCGAAGGGTTCAACGCAAGCACTAGAATAATATTTTATGACAATTGCCGCTTTGCTGGTCTGGAAGCTGCACATGTTTGCGAAAAGGGGTCAAAGACTTCATTATGATTAGACTTGAAAGGCTGCCATTGACCGTCCCACACCGGCACGGATTGCGCTTCTTGAATCGATCCGCAGCTGAGCAAATAGGGTCTTTCGACAACGGGAAGACGCATCTTTTGTCTGACTGGAGAATAGCTAACCAAGGCAACCGCCGTTGCATAGACAGGTAGATTCAGATCTCCTGGGAGTTGGTACCTTCCGCATTGCCGCCCTGCCTGACTCATAGTCACCCCTTTAGGAGCTATGAATCAGTTTCCCTCTAATTGGTGGCTTGGGTTAAGGACACTCTACAAGAGCCAGGGGTTCAAATCCCCACGATTCTCCAAAACACCACTTAGGCCTCTAGAAAAACCAATCCAACCACAATCAATCAAACCAATCCCCACCAATCCCCATCCAACCACCAATCCAACCACCAATCCCCATCCAACAAAAACAAAAAATCCTTCCCAGGCCCTGAGGCCATTTCGCACCCGAGCTGAGTGGCAGCAGCTGAGCACCTCCCCGACAACACTGCGCCAGGCTCCGCCGCAGCGACCGCAGCAGCCTGTCCCAAATGGGTTTGCTTTGAGGCGAAGGAGAGCCTTAGGTTGGTTTAAATGGGAACCCAAAGAAAAACCGAAGGCATTGCAGTCCAAATGCCTGTTCGACATATTCCCAAATGCTCCGAACAGCCCGGAGGGATGCAGCGCAAGCAAGGGGTGTGGATTACAAAAGATCCCAGAGGGTCCAAGTCTCCTCCTGGTTTGGGTTCAAAGGGATTCCCAAATCTGAAAGATAAGCGATTTGGACCATCTGGTAATATGTGAGACTCCCAACATTTTGGGACACCAACATGCTTTTCGGGGATAGGACGCTGACGCAGAGCTCCTTACATCTTGCTTTAAACCATGGCCTCTCCCCAAAATGAAACTCAAATTGCCAGCCAGAAGGCGATGTCTAGCACCAAAGGTGGGTTCGGAAGCCGTGTTCCAGGATCAATTTGAGATGAATCAAGGGGCGCCCTTGTTGGAGCGGTAGAAAAGCCAACGGTCCAAATCGCTTCAGTCAGGACCTCTTGCTGGATGTTGCAGAATAACGAAGAAGGCCATCATTCTCATGGATCATCCTGTGTATGATTTTGAAGCCAGCCAACAAGTGGCTCCCTGTCTCACACTTGGCACTCCCAGACTCCCAGCTCCGGCAGAGTTGCGTTTCAAAACCATCCGGCGACTTCCGGGATACCCACCACAAACAACATGTTTCAAAGAAGTTGCCCTTTGGGCAAGTTCCCTTTGGGGGATCCGTCTGTTAGTTTGGGCGTTGTATTGTTGCCGGGATTCTGTTGTTGGGCTCTTACCTTCCTGAGCAACTAAACCTATCCTCCCAAAGTGTAAAGTTCCTGTAAGTCTAGAAGACGGCTTAGATGCGTTTTTTGTAGACTTCACCTGTTTGCTTGTTTTTTTTGAGGTTTTTGAACTCTTTTACTGCTTTAGAATCCTGTAGGGGATCCACAGATTAATCTCGTGCCGAGGCGCCGATGTCCGGTGTGACCCCGAGAATGGCCGTGTCCGTGTTTCTGGGTGGAGTCCTGAGTTCACCCACTGCGGAAATCGGTGCATACGATGCATACCGTGAATCTTTGAGGTCACCCTCTTTGGGTTTGATTTACAAGGGCGCCAAAAGGAGGTCTTGGCGAATTGTTGGGTCCTGATTCTGAGAAATACCCATGTGCCCGATAGTACACCCTGAATTCCCTCAGGGTAGTGGTTTGGGGCCGCAAAGGGTAGACTTTGTAAGGGGCCAAGGCCGAAGAATGGAATAAAAGGGCGGCAAGGCCTGAAGCAAGGGCAGTCGCGAAGGGGCACCAAGACCAGGGTCCTTCCTCTTGTTTGGGAAACACAGACACATAACAAATAGCTGATCTAGCACCTCTTCATTTATCGTATCGAAACAATTAATCAGTTTCTCCCCAGGTTGCTCAGCTGAGCCATATCCTAACATGTGATAATCTGCTATGTCGTGTCATGCTGCTTACGCCCATACCTGTGCAGCGACACATGTGAAGGCTTTGCTGACACCACCTGCTGATTTTGCTGGCGCACAGGTCAAGATGACGCCGCCCTTACTAAGCATGTACACGGAGGTTTGGACGTTGCTCAGATTCTCCGGGTACCGCTACTCCTCGAGGGGAGACACAGCTGGCAATGTCTTGAGGCCTGCTAAATTGGAAGCACATTACCTGGTACCAAACCAGGCAACCAACCAACCAATCAAACCAAACCCAACCAAACCCGGGCCCAACCAAACCCAACCAAACCAAACCCAACCAAACCAAACCCAACCACGCAACTATCTAACTAAACCCACCAACCAAACCCAACCACCTAACCCCCTAACCACCCAACCCCCTAACCGTCTACCCAACCAACCAACCAACCAAGCAACCAACCACCCACCCACCCACCCACCCACCCACCCACCCACCCACCCACCCACCCACCCACCCACCCAACCAACCAACCAACCAACCAACCAAAACCAACCAATACCAACCTACCAACCAACCTACCAACCTACCAACCCACCAACCATCCCCAACCAACCAAACTCACCCAACCCACCAACCATCCCCAACCAACCAGCCTCACCCAACTAACCAACGAACCAGCCAACCAACCACACATCTAACGCTTGAAACGGCGGTGCTGCATGTATGTATCTTGAGGATTGCAAAAGTATCAACAGCCGTTCCCAACTTGAACAGCATCCACCGAGAATCCCATTGTGTTGGAAGACAAAGCTGCCAGCCTGGTTGGGAACCTCAGCTATGGATGCCTGGTAGTGTTTTTTCAGAACGCACTTGACAACGAGCGCGACAAGAGACCCGAGACCCGAGACCCGAGACCCCGAGACCCGAGACCCGAGATTCGAGACCCGAGACCCGAGACCCCGAGACCCCAGACCCGAGACCCGAGACCCCGAGACCCGAGACCCGAGACCCGAGACCCGAGACCACGAGACCCCAGACCCGAGACCCGAGACCCGAGACCCGAGACCCCGAGACCCGAGACCCGAGATTCGAGACCCGAGACCCGAGACGCGAGACCCGAGACCCGAGACCCGAGATTCGAGACCCGGAGACCGGAGACCCGAGACCCGAGACCCCGAGACCCGAGACCCGGAGACCCGAGATTCGAGACCCGAGACCCGAGACCCCGAGACCCAAGACCCGAGACCCCGAGACCCGAGACCCGAGATTCGAGACCCGAGACCCGAGACCCCGAGACCCGAGACCCCGAGACCCGAGACCCGAGACCCGAGACCACAAGACCCGAGACCCGAGACCCGAGACCCCGAGACCCGAGACCCGAGATTCAAGACCCGAGACGCGAGACCCGAGACCCGAGATTCGAGACCCGGAGACCGGAGACCCGAGACCCGAGACCCCGAGACCCGAGACCCGAGATTCCGAGACCCGAGACCCCGAGACCCGAGACCCCGAGACCCGAGATTCGAGACCCGGAGACCCGCGTGACCCGAGACCCGAGACTCGAGACCCAAGACCCGAGACCCGAGATTCGAGACCCGAGACCCGGAGACCCGAGACCCGAGATTAATCGAGACCCGAGACCCGAGACGCGAGACCCGAGACCCGAGACTCGAGACCCAAGACCCGAGACCCGAGATTCGAGACCCGAGACCCGAGACCCGAGACCCCGAGACCCGAGACCCGAGATTCAAGACCCGAGACCCGAGACTCAAGACCCGAGACCCGAGACCCGAGATTCGAGACCCGAGACCCGAGACGCGAGACCCGAGACCCGAGACTCGAGACCCGAGACCCGAGACCCGAGACCCCGAGACCCGAGACCCGAGATTCGAGACCCGAGACCCGAGACCCGAGACCCGAGATCCGAGACTCGAGACCCGAGACCCGAGACCCGAGACTCCGAGACCCGAAGAGCCGAGCGAGACCCGAGACTCGAGACCCGAGACCCGAGACCCGAGACCCCGAGACCCGAGACCCCGAGACCCGAGACCCGAGACTCGAGACCCCAAGGCCCGAGACCCGAGACGCAAGACCCGAGACCCGAGACTCGAGACGAGACCCGAGACCCAAGACCCCGAGACCCCGAGACCCCGAGACCCGAGACCCGAGACCCGAGACTCGAGAGACCCGAGACCCCGAGACCCGAGACCCGAGATCCGAGTGAGACTCGAGACTCCGAGACCCGAGACCTGAGACCCGAAACCCTGAGACTCGAGACTCCGAGACCTGAGAACCGAGACCCCGAGACTCGAGACCCGAGACTCCAAGACCCGAGACTCCGAGACCCGTTCAGGCACATGGTAAGAACACCCGTTCAAGTGCGCCCGCTTTGCATGCAAGGCACATGGTAAGAACACCCATGTAGCATGCCCGCGCCCGCTTAGCACTGTATCCATGCCAGGCACACGGTAAGAACACCCCATCTGGCAGGCATGGGTTCACTGCTGAGCGGGCGCAGGTGAGCGGGTGTGGTCACCATTTCGCAGGCATGTCCGCAGTGCTGAGCGGGTTCGCGTGAGCACTGTATCCATGCCAGGCACATGGTAAGAACACCCGTTCAAGCGCACCCGCTTAGCACTGTATCCATGGCAGGCACATGGTAAGAACACCCGTTCAAGTGCACTTGCTTAGCGCTGTATCCATGCCAGGCACATGGTAAGAACACCCGTTCAAGTGCACCCGCTTAGCACTGTATTCATGCCAGGCACATGGTAAGAACACCCGTTCAAGTGCACCTGCTTAGCGCTGTATCCATGCCAGGCACATGGTAAGAACACCCGTTCAAGTGCACCCGCTTAGCACTGTATCCATGCCAGGCACATGGAAAGAACACCCGTTCCGTTCAAGTGCACCCGCTTAGCACTGTATCCATGCCAGGCACATGGTAAGAACACCCGTTCAAGTGCACCAGCTTAGCACTGTGTCGATGCCAGGTAAGAACACCCGCTCAAGTGCACCCGCTGAGCATTGTGTTCTTACCCTGTGCCTGGCATGGATACAGTGGTGAGCGGGTGCACTTGAGCCTTATCATGGACACAGTGCTGAGCGGGTGCACTTGAGCGGGTGTTCTTGCTATGTGCTTGGCATGGACACAATGCTGAGCGAGTGCACTTGAGCGGGTGTTCTTACCATGTGCCTGGCATCGATACAGTGCTAAGCGGGTGCACTTGAACGGGTGTTCGTACCATGTGCCTGGCATGGATACAGTGCTGAGCGGGTGCACTTGAGCGGGTGTTCTTACCATGTGCCTGGCATGGATGCTCAGCGGGCGCACTTGAACGGGTGTTCTTACCCTGTGCCTGGCATGGATACAGTGCTCACGCGAACCCGCTCAGCACTGCGGACATGCCTGCGAAATGGTGAGCACACCCGCTCACCTGCGCCCGCTCAGCAGTGAACCCATGCCTGCCACTGTACTTGGAGGAGTGTGCCTGCTCTGCGGGGGCAGTATGCCGGGGGAGTGTGCCCGGACGGGGGAGTGTGCCGGGGAAGTGTGCTGGAGAGCACGGTAAGCACGCCCGCTCACGTGCACCCGCTCAGCACTGCGCACATGCTTGCGAAATGGTGAGCGCGCCCGCTCACGTCCGCCCGCTCAGCTCTGCACACATGCCTGCCAAGTGGTCAGCACACCCGCTCCTGCCAAATAGCAAACACGCCCGCTCAGCTGCACCCGCTCGCTCTGCTGCCAAATGACAAGCACGCCCGCCCGCTCACGTGCACCCGCTCAGCACTGCACACATGCTTGCCAAATGGTGAGCGCACCCGCTCACCTGCACCCGCTCAGCACTGCGCCCACGCCTGCCAAATGGTAAGCTGCGCCACATGCCTGCCAAACGCGCACCCGCTCAGCACTGTACACATACCCGAGACCCAAGACCCAAGATCCGAAACCCGAGACTCGAGACCCGAGACCCAAGATCTGAGACCCCGGCCCGAGACCCGAGCCCGCTCAGCACTGTACACATGCCTCTCACGTGCACCCGCTCAGCACTGCGCCCGCCAAATAGTAAGCACGCCCGCTTACGCGCCCTAGATTCGAGATTCGTGACCCGAAGCCCGAGACCCCGAGACCCGAGACCCGAGATCCGAGACCCCGAGACCCGAGACCCGAGACCCGAGACCCCCGAGACCCGAGATCCGAGACCCGAGACGCGAGACCCGAGACCCAGCCGAGACCCGAGACCCGAGACCCGAGACCCCGAGACCCCGAGACCCAAGACCCGACACCCGAGACCTGAGACCGAGATCCGAGACCCGAGAGACCCGAGAGACCCCAGACCCGAGACCCGAGACCCGACGCCCGAGACCTAAGACCGGAGACCCGAGACCCGAGACCCCCAGACCCGACCCTGGGGTTCCAAAGGCGGTTTATTTTGCATGTTTTCTGTGAAAGGCGGTTTTTTGCCACGAGTAGTTTTGTCCAAGCTCAGCTGATATCATTGAACAATTCGGGCGCCGCACGTGCTCAGGACCAAAGTGTGCAAAGACTTGACCTCCGTTCCCACAAAACAAGCGGAGGGATTACCAAAGGACAGGCTGAGACAGGTTGATTCACCGGTGTCAAAATTCACGGCAGAAAACGTGCTTTCACGCTGGAAAACAGGCACTTTCACGCCAATTTCACGGTGATTTCACGGTGATTTCATGCTACTTTTTACGTACATCACGGACCGCTATGTTCACACCAAAATTGTTGTGTCAAGACATGCTGGGGTGGAACAGGCTGTGTAGAATCTAAACGTGGCAACAGTATGAATAATCCATCAAATACCACGCCATGGCTCATTGCAGGCGCAAAAAACAGGCTTTAGCTGCAAAAAACAGGCGAGGTGCAAAGGACGTTTAACAAATAGTCGTGGATTTCCAGGGCCGAGACCCGAGACCCGAGACTCGAGACACAAGACCCGAGACCCCGAGACCCGAGACCCGATACCCGAGACCCGAGACCCGAGACCCGAGATCCGAGACCCGAGACCCGAGACCCGAGACCCGAGACCCGAGACCCGAGACCCGAGACCCCAGACCCGAGCTCCAGACCCGAGACCCGAGACCCCGAGACCCGAGACCCGAGACCCGAGACCCGAGAAGTGTCGGGGAGCCGCGGGCCCATTGTCAAGTTCGATCTCGTTTTTTTCTTCGTCCCCTCACACCCACGATGCGAAGAATGGATCCCATGGAGTGAAACAGCAGGGCCAATCTCCTGTTGGAACTGTTCATGTTGGACCACGGATCAAAATGCCACTGACCCAGATTGAGGGCTGGTCAAATTTCATGGCCCGTGGAAACTTCTCGCGACTTCAAGATTCCGCCGTACGGCGGCCATTGCCACAGAAATGGATGCATCAGTTTCGTCAGGATGTCACCACCCCGAACCTTGGGAGGGCGTTTCTGAGGTCCTTTCTGTTCTTATGGACATCGAAACCCGTCCAGAGGAGTCAACGCTGCTGAATTAAAGCAGGAACAACGCTATATCTGGACAATTTCCAGCATGGCATGTGTGTAGTGATCTCGGGATGCAATACAACTAACCCTGGGACGGGGAATAGGAGCTCTGGAAAACATGAAAGTGATCTATCCCCCTCTGAGCTCCTTTAGCTTGAGTCTTCTTGAGCAAGTTCACACTCCCGGGAATCTGTTTTTCCAGAGCGCTGCGTTGGCCCCGCTTGTGAACACTGCTTTCAGTCCCGTACATGTTATGAGAGCTAGTAAAAGTGGGCACTGATACATCCGCGAAACCATCCAACGATCATTGACAGGAGACCTTTCTTAGCTGACTAATCTTAGAACCCTCTCAATGTTCTCTGTCGCTATTTGGCCCAGCACGCTGCCCTACATGCCCACAGGACTTCAGAAAAATGGTTATATATAACCAGTCGCTTACCTCGACCAAGCATATACCAAGATTGGAAAACCAAAAGGTCGAAAGATGACTCCCAAATAGAACTACATACGGGATGCCCAAAAGAAATCTTCTTGGGTGAGCTCCTTAACCTCTGGATCGGCGAGCTCGTTACAGAAAATACCCAGATGGTGCAACTTGCAACCAAGTCACCAGAAAGGTGGGGTTGTGGTGCTGGTGCTGTGGAGGCACTCTACTCCGTCCTCCGCTGCCAATGCCACCACCGCCGCCAGCCTGACGCGGCTGCGTCCTTTGAGTTGGTACCCTGCCACCTACTGGGAACCATGGTGTTCCCAGAGGCTCCATTCAGGGTCCATGTTGGTTTGGAGGGTGCCCTTTTTGAGGATGTTGAAAGGAAAGCTGAAGGAAACCATTCATTCTGGGCTTCCCGAATTTTGAGACGCCCTGAGTTGGTTCGGTTTGGAGTAGAAGTGATAAGACGGTTCAGAAAAGGCCAAAACAGCAAGGAACGGAGCATAGGGTGGAACTAAGATGCCAAATGCTATCAAGATGAGTTATCTCCCCTGGAAGTTCATTCGACTACGATCTGCAAAGGAGTGAAAACCGGGCGAATGTTGGGTTCAACAATGCTCACCCCAGGGGGGTTCAAAAGAAAGGAATCTTTGTAGGTGACCGGCCTGGCTGCGTTTTCTGTATCCAGCACAAGCAAATCAAGCGACCCAGGTGCGCTTCCCAAACTTTTGGCAACACCTTTCATCCCAAGACTTTGTGGCAAGTCTGACGCGATTCCTGCCATGCAACTGTGAGGCGACATGCTTCCAGGGGAAATGCAGAGATTCCTAAACACCCGCACACAGACACACCAAGACACACACACAAAACATAAACACACCCAACTTAAGGGGATGCGTTGATAGCAACAAGGCAGTCGAAACAGGTGGTCCTGCAAAGAAGAACATATGGCTGTGGTTCAAAAAACCGGTACCAAAATGGATCCCTGGCAAGTGGAAACATGGACCAAAACCTGCGTAACCCCTCCTGATTAAGTTTGAGCCACACCCATATAGGTACAATCACCATTCTCTGTACCCACGAGGTTCCAAAGCTCTAGGGACTTGCAGCTGCTGGGATAGCAGAGGCAGGGTGAAGCTGACCTTGGATCTGCATAATACTTGCAATAAGCAAATCAAAAGAGCGCGCATTCTCCCAGTGCTTGATCTATCTCAGGACCTCTGAAGGAGCCCCCGTCGAGGGCTAGGGATGCTTCTCCGAGTTTGTCTCTTACAAACATGTCCAAGAACTTGCCCCCAGATTTCAGCTATGGGTGTCATAAGTTGTCAAAAACGGGTTGTTCGATTCAAACATCAGTTTTTTATTTCCGAGGTTTCCACCCAAGCATCATTGGACCCCCATTGGAGGGGTCAGGGCAGAAGGCTTTGGACTGACCTGCCGATTCTGAGGTGCCAAGCGCCAAGAGTCTCGGGGGCAACCGGAAAAATAAAATAAAAAAAAACAAAAATAAACGGACAAGTTGCGGGGATCACCATGGCGATAGGACTTCTCCAGTAATTGAACTCTGAGCTCGTTTCGTCTCTGAATCCTCCGCGCGCACGCGAAAGCCGAAAGGTGCCTGGAAGAAGTTCTCCGGGAGGTCCCAGGCTTTGAGCAGCACTTCCTGGAAGTACTGGTCCGACTCGATGCCTTCGACTTGTTCGATGTTTTTTCTTGTATCAAACTTGGGGCTTTACTTTTTTGGGGGGCTTCCGGGGTTTGGGTTTGTTCGTTGTTCGGGGTTGTGGGGCTTTAAGGGGGTTGGGGCTGTGGGATTGTTGGGGCTTTGGGCTTTTTCGAGTTTTTGACGCATGGCTCCAAATGATCAAGAAGCACGTCAAGCAAAGCTCCTACTCGTCCTGAAGGGGGCCTATAGCCCTGCCTTTTGGTTGGTTCGACACACCTGGCAATTGTCGTGGATTCCTTTAGGGTAATTGTTGGTCATAGTGGGGGCCATATGGTTTCCCATATGACATATACATATATATATATATATTACTCTATAATTCCCCTTTCTAATCAGCAAAAAGACGGCCTACCAGGGCAGAAAGCAAGTTGCTATAGCTAGAAGGGAAGCATGTATAACTTGTCCAGAAAGTTGAAGCCCACCCGGGAAAACACATGTTGCCAAAGGCCACAGCTAAGGGTAGCCAGCGTGTTGTCCCCTGACCAGAAATGCCTTTTACCCAAGATGGGTATGGGTTCCCCAACAGAAAGGATGTGGATTGGCAACAAGGAGTGCAACTCCTTTGGCATGGCGTTCAAGATCTCTTGTCTACCGCTTCACTTCCAATGCGCAATCGGGCCTGCTGACAAGCCCTCGTAGTACCGCTCCTGAGCAAGGGGGCGAAACTCTGGAACAACCACCCCTTTGACACATCTCTCACAAAACATCCGCTTTGACAAAGCGACACGTGTTCACAAACACGTGTTCGGAAAGAAACTCGTTGTGTGGAGACTGCCATTTATGTGTCGCACAAATCGCTTGACAACCAAGTATCTAATCAAATGGCTGACGTGGGCGTGTCCTTAGGCACCAAATGGACCGCCCATCGTGTTTGGCCTCCTGCCAGAACAAATAGCGGTCTCCAGTTTTGGGAAACACTCAGGCGCTGTTTTGTCTTCCCGGCTTGCGCTCAGTGTCCATACTTATGCATCTTCATCAAATGTCCCCGTCCTGATGTTTAAGGTGCATACCCTTTGACTCTCCTTTGCGGAGCATAGGAATATCAACGTGGGAAAATAGGTGTGATCCTTAAGCGGGAATGCTGGGTAAAGGAAGCCCCTAGATGTGCAAACGTGCCACCGTGTCAGAGGCCCCCGTAGAAGCTGATTTGGCTTTTGGGGCCTCCTCTAAGTGGGTGCCCAAGTTTGGGCCATCAAATGCTTCTTCCCCAAAGCTCTGCTTACATCGAGGCAAAGGCCCCTTCGGCTAAACCCGAGGATTAACCTTTGGTTGATGGGGTCAGACATGGCGCCCGTCTTCGGAGGGGATGCTTGGCGAGTTGGTCAATACGATGCTCCGGCGGCACCACTGCTCCCCAACCAATCACCACAATGCTCAATCTGAGCGGCTCAAAACAAGCAGCCTGCATTGCAGACACCTCCGCTCTAGGGCAAAATCCAATGCCGGTCCCGAGCCGTGACGTCTGCATTCAATCTCAAAATCGGGCGGCACCCTACAAATCCTGGTTTCCTATTGGTTTCCCATTCAACACCAGAGTCTACCTGTTCACCCATGAAAGTCACCCGCAACTCGTTTTAAATTTGCCTACCCGAGAAGGGAACATATTGGATATTGGAAACTCCGAAAAGGAGTCCAAAGGTGGAACACCCCAAATGGTCTTTCGTCTGAGTTTTACATGTTGACGCCAAAACCCCTGGTTTCCCTCCCACCCACCAACATGGAGACCAAGCAAAAGGTCCCTTTAGAGAACTACTCTTCCAGCCTCCGGTGACCGGTGTCAACCCTCCCCCCAATAACATGTATCTCCCCCTTCACTAAAACAACTAATTCCCTTGCAAAAACCTAACATCTGCTTTCCCGAAGGGTCCAAGTAACCTTTAATGGTTTTTGACTTATAGTACTTGCACCCGGGTTTCCGTGAATACCTCTCAAAACCAATGGCTGTGAATTTGACAATATGCCCCAAAGTGGGGATTGATTCATGTCCACCACCCGCTGCGGTTCCCTTATTCAAATTCATAATTCATAGCCCAATGGGGTCTCTCTTTTTAAGTTGGTACCCATTTTTTGGCGGTTTTCAAGGGACACCACAAGGACAACTAGTTTGCATGCACCTTTTTTGGGGAGTATAAAGGGAAGCCAAAAGGAAAGCCGGTTAGCAAGCAATTTTGGGAGTCCGGAGCCTAACCAAAAAAAAGAAGCCGCATCCAACACCCCCCCCTCCCGCCATCCCCCGCGCATCCGAGGCGCAAAGTCGGGGTATCGCACCTCCCCGGCCTTGGCGCCCCCCGCCACCTGCCGGAAGTTCTCCAAGAAGTTGGCGAGGACCTGCCGGTAGTTCTGCAAGCTCTGGAGATTTGGGCGAAAAGGCCAGGATGAGTTTTCTTCCAAGGAAGCTTCTTCATCCAACATCCCATGTTAGTGTTTTCAATGTCTCATCAATTAGAGACGTGAAAGGGGTAGTGAAGTCCTGAAACCTCAGATGTGCCAAAATCCAGCAGGAACCTTGGGGTGTCGAGCATGGGAGAAATGAGGTCTTTGGGTATGGGCACAAATTAAACAAAATCTGAGGACCGCAGGTTCTAGTCCATGTTTCCACTTGCCAGGGTTCCATTTTGGCATTCAAAGTTTCTCAACACGTTAGACCCATTTCATAAGGTATGGATGTAAAGGGGAACCACAGGCAGGGAGGAAAGAAAGACGTGCTAAGCACGGTTGGTATACCTGTGGAAACCATTCCTATTATATCTTGGCCTCGGGGGCTAGGGGGGCGGGGGGAATTGTCTTTTTTTTTTTTTAAGCCAAGGATATGTCCACGTTGTACCCAGTGCTTCCGGGCAAGCCAGATACGAATAGGTAGCCACACCTTTATGAACAACCTAGAGGTAAGAAAACCCGATTACCTATAGTGGCAACTGGAAGCACTAGGGGGGGCATGAATCACATAGGACATACTAGAACCTGCGTAAATAATACAAGTTGGCAACTTTGGCATTCAAGGTCAACGTCGGGTTATGATACAGATCGGCATGGTTCCCTTTTAGTGGAGAACTCCATACACTGGTATGATCCTCCGGATATATCCGAGGTTGACATCATGTGGCACTCCATATAAGCGTGTGCTATTTGGTCATACATTTGCTTTTGCCGTGATGTGTTCAACATGTTCTTGGGCAAAATACTAGCTACATGCGGGTCGCATACGTAAATGATTGAACAACCGCGGGCATACGGGCAAACACCTCCATGGTTGAAGTAGCCCTTAATGGTTCAATCAAGCTCGGAAGATATGTCTGTCCCGTTTGTTGCAGAGAGCGTATCCTTGTCCACGGCCACATGTTTGCCGCCAAAGTCACCCCCCAAAGCGATACCGCGGATGGACAAAATCCATTTCGCACCTTTTTTCAGAAACCCCTTTCTTCTGATGAGTTTCTTCGCACCTTTTTTCAGAAACCCTGGTTTCTGATGATTCCCCTGCCATTTGCAAATACCAAGAAACCTTCTGGTTTCCCCAGAACGTTTCCCAGGTGGTGCCTTTGGACTTTGTCCACCTGTTCGTCCAACAACGAAAACGCCAGCGGGTGACTTTAAGCGCAAAGCTGCCTGGTCCGGTGCAGGCCGCCAGCCCCGCGCCCGCTGCACCCCTGGCACGCGGACGCGCTTGCGCGCTTCCGGCCGGAGGAGCGTCGTAAGTTGGTGCTCCAACAACGCTTTGGGACATTTGGGCCGATGGTTTTTGGGGTAGGTGGGTTTTTGTTTGGTTCATTTCAAGGGAACGTGTTTGGGGTAGGTGGTGCTTTGTTTGGTTCATTTCGGTGGAACTTCTGTGCCAACAAGAAGCCGGGTATGTTGGCTCATTTCAAAGGCACGCCCACCTACTTTAAATGAGAAATAAGATGGGGCAGGGTCGGCTTCTTCTTCCGACGGATCGGCCATGGTGAAACCTGGCGCTGGGCACTGCGCACTGCTTGGGGACCCCAATAACAAATCGAGTTCAACACGGCTGACTTGCAATGATCAACGCCAACAAAGGAACCCCCCAAAAAAACATAAAGAACCTTTCTGAGTAAGGTGGCAAAGCAAAGCCCTATGTTCAAATACCCAAATCATGATTTACTTTTAGAACGTCTATAGTCGTTTTAGCCACAACACCATCGCTCAGGCGTTTTTGCAAGCATGCCTCAACCACTGGTCATCCGAAATATACTTTGGTCAACAAATGCCGCAATCTTCCTTCGCCAGGTCTTTTCAAAGGCATATGATCACATTTTCTTCTGGATGCTTCCAAGTTCGTTTTGTCGGCGACCCCCCAAAGAAGGCGGCCATCTTAAAACCCACTCTCAGTCAAAGCGCGCTTCACCTAATCGGAGCGCCTGGCCAAGTCAGGTGCTTGGCCACCTGGCTTACAACCCACTGATGACGTCAAATTCGCCAGTGGGTTATAACCTGGGGTACCAACAACTTACTTTGGCGAATCGAACACCCAAGTAGAAGCGTCCTTCCCTTTGCACGGCCATTGGGCGCCCCCATGCGCCGACTCCCCCCTTGGGCCCCCGACCCTCGGCCATAGCCCCGGGGTCGCAGCGTAGCTTGAGGTCGTCCACCTGGATCACTCCGTTGCCTCGGATGGCCGCGGAAGGATAGCTGGAGACGCTGGGAGTGCATGTTATTCGCATTGCCGGTTGGGCCGGTTGTCTTCATATGTAATTCCATGTATAGTGTTTGCACTGGAACTGAGTCTTGGCACGTTTGATTGCATTTTATGTTGTTTATTCATGTCCTTCTGGTTACATGTTTCCTTTGTAAGATTCTAGAGGTTTAGAGCATGATTGTAGCCTTCGTAAATTGTGACTCTGGGTGGCAAGCAAAAACATAGTTGGTCTGAACAGCTACAGATTCCTGATCTGGAAACACAAATAAAGTTGGTCGTTTGACCTTAGTGTTAGCATCTGTGAATGCCAGCGTGTAAGCTAGACTGCGGCTAACACTTATATAATATATTAACAGTCACTACAAAAAACTGGTAAATTGGCCTAGGGCGCAGATCCTAGAAGGGGCACTAACTTAATCTGTCCATGAATTCAGAATCGTACAATACGAATCTTTGTGCTGAAGCCTCTCTGTGCCAATTGCAGTCCTTATATACATACAATATATATACATATATATACATATATATATATTCTACGTTGTGTATGTGTAAAAACATGAATCTCTGCTCAGCAGAAGTTTGTTCCTTGATTCAAGTAATATGGTCACACCCTGAACATTGTTGAATACCCACATGTATATTATGGATCGTTCTAATATGAATGTCATGTGTAGGATGGATTTTGTTGTTTCTTTGTTGAGGATTTTGTTGGCTTTTGGGTTTTGAGGCGGATCCAGTGGGAGACTGTCTGAGCACTGCGTTTTGGTTTGGTTTGTTTCCAGGATGTTGGTTGTTTGCCTGTGATGTTTGCTCTGCAGTCACCCTCCCACGACTCCAGCGCGGTGTGGCCCAAAGTTCAAGAGCTAGGGTTACTTAGACTTCTGGTTCCATTTACCAAGGTGGCCATTTTGATACCAGTTTTTTGAGCCACCGCCATGTATCTATGAGTCCATGAGCAAGCAAAGGCACAGAAAGAGTTTACTATGTATCTACTGCACCGGAACAGCATACAACACTGCAATGTTCAGAATGGTCAACAAGCATGGACAAATGCACTTGCACAATCCCCGGTTCCGTACAACAAAGGAGCCATACGCCTCCCAACCTACAGGTTGCACCAGATCTCACATCAACTCGGGCTTTCTCCAGCTGATGAACCCTCGAAAGGGAGCTGAACGTGGGGGAATCTCTTGTTGGCTGCTGTTCAGAGCAAACCACTAGGAAATCAACGGCTTCCTAGTCTTGAGAACTCGTCTATGACTAGAAAGGGATAGCTGCCGTTCTTTCCTTTCAAGCCGACCGCTCTCTCTTGAGGGCGAAGGGTCTGGCCCAGTGCATCGGGAGCAAAACGCCTCAAAGGCGACATCCCTATCATAGAAATCCCAAAACTTACTGACCCTTATTACAATTACCCCATGGTTTTGGGCAAGCCCCCAAGATTCATAGGTGAGGCTCCCCCCCCAAAAATGTTTGTGGGCCGGCCGCCGTTTTTTTCTCCATCCAGACTCCAAGAACCGAAGCGGCGAACGGCGGGCAACCGGAGCGGCGGTTGGCGTCGAGGTAGGAGAAGAGCTGCTGCACCAGCGAGCGGCGCCTAAGCTGGATGGGTCCAGGAGACAACTGACAACTGAAAGGGAGACCAACAACGAATCTCCTAGCTTCAAGGAGAAAACCTAATGGAGAAAGTCAAAACACAACTTAAAGGAGAAAACCAAAGAGAATACCTGGATCATCCCAAGTCCGATGTTTTCTGCCTTCCCGCAGAAGAGTACTTTGCAGTTTATGAATAGTTGGAAAGTTGGCAGTGGTTGTCAACAATAAGTATTCACATAGAACCCTACATGGAATCAAGGACTAAAACCTACGGTCCCCTAGTGGATTCATTCATTTTGATCATACCCATATTTGAGAACAAATGACTTGAGGCGTGTTCTGAGATACACCCTGGAAGGACACCCTGGTCAAATCATTGCACGCTTGGGAGTACATCTTGGGGATGATTCGCCGTCAGGTTTTCGGGCGTGGAAAATGGTTGCCCCTGTCTGTTCCGAACGGCGAAGCTGCCTCCGAAAACATTCCTTGGGGGGTGAATTGATCTCCCCTCTTGGATGGTGCTTCAAGGGTCGGGACCTGCATCGAAAGCCCAGGAACGTCAAAAAGGTCAATGTGGGGTTGTCTCAAAAAAGCGGAACCCCCAAAATGGATTATGAACATCGGGGACGTCCTTCAAGACGACGCAAAACACGCACCATACACGCACGCTCCAAAAAAGACACCCCCAGGCAAAACATCAACAGGGGGATGGGTGTTAAGGCGATAGCCCAAACATGTTCGAAAACGCGGTGTTTAGCTACAAAATAGACGTTTTGAACATCAACAACTCCCCAGAAGGACACATGTACTTGTGTGCTTCTTGACTCTTCCAAATCGCAAAAAATACACGCCGACTTGTTTGACCCCCTTGGATGGTGACAAACCCAAGCGCCAAGCATTACTCCCGGTCCGCGAAGCCCCCAGAAATCAGCTGCAAAAGGAAACCGATCCACATGACCATGACATAGCAACGTTTCAGGCGGCCCAAACTAGGAAACGCAAGGATTTGTCTCAATAACACTTCCAACATGTGGCCTGTTTTGTTTCAGTTTCCCGTGCTCAGGATCCGGTTTTTTCTTTGAGATATCCTTTGAAAACCGCAAAAGTTGGTACAGTACCAACCCGAAAACACAACCTCGAAGCAACCCACAAAACCACCCACAACAAGCAAACACCAACCCCCCAAAAAAGGCCGCACCCACACGGAGTTCCCATCCCCCTCAATCCGCCTCTCCGAGAGCTTGGGCTTGAAGATCCGCAGGAACTGCTCCATGGTCACCCGCCCGTTGCCATCCCCTGCACTGTGATGGAAAAGCCTTCCGGGTGTCCTGTGATTACAACACCGAGTCTTTCATTTGCCTAAGTGCACTAGAAAAAACTGAAAATATGGCCAGTAGTGATAGATTCCCTTTACAACCAACAGGGACGATAAAACATGTTCTTAATGAAATGGAAGAATTGAAAGAGGAATCTATCTGTTCTCAACCAAACCGACGTAAACGGATGTTCCGCGTAAAGGCGGTGTGCTGGAAAGGGCGATTTGGGGGTGATGTCTCAAGAAACAACATTTAGGAAAGCCCCCTGATTTGTGGCGCTATTGTTGGTCATGCTGATCCGTTCTTTATGGGGGTAAGTTGGCTCATCTCAGAAAGACCTTCCAACGAGACCCAAAGGGAAGCTCACTCAGACTTGACCGAAGCAGTAATATCCTTTATTCACTGAATTCAGCTGCTAGCATTTGAGGTCATTGCGAGTTTTAAGTGTTGGAGACTGACCAAAGGCGAGGGTTTTGCCTTAGACATGCTCCCTCAAAAATCCGAAGTACCCTCTGTCCAACAATCAGGCCGCTTCCCGTAGCTAATTATTTCAATTCCCAGATTGACAGAGCCAGAATGAACCCCCCTCCCCTTAATGTGAGGGTTTACGCTGAACGGTCCAATCCCAGAACTTGTGGCTCTTTTGGCGACCACTATCCTTCGCGTTTAACTGGCATATAGAGAAGGTTAAATTCGTCTCAGATACGGAAATGTGTACAGCAACAAAAAAAGGCCTTCATGGGCGGAAATCTTGGCAACTTGGCCAACGGAGATTCCGAGCTTATGATCAATCCAGCGAGCTATCACATATGTTAGACTCACATGGCCAAATGACAAAGGTAGCATCTCCAACACCTGCAGGGCGTTCATTCCTTGGAGGCCCAATCTGCTTGAACAAAAGAAGGCACAAAAAGAGACAAGCCCTGTGTAGACTTTGGCAAACCCTGTCCCTGAGCTGGATCTGGTTCTGTGTGATGATCATAGGCTCAAAATTCAAAAGGAGGGGTTACGCAGGTTTTGGTCATGTTTCCACTTACCACAGCCGTTTGCTTTGCGTGATGTAGCAAACACACTGCTCGAACTGACCCTGCCAGCACACAACGAATCTGTGATTCTCGCAGCATGCCACCACCCGGTTGGTCCGTTTGTCTGGATACGGCCACCTCTTGCCGCCCCTATTTTGTGGGTGAGATGACAGGGGCCCCATGAAAGTGACACCTGTATAACTTCAATGTGTTCGAGTGGCCGAATCCCACTGCCAAAGCCGAGGCTCGGTCCAGGTAATGCCACAGCTTCTGCAACTCAGCCTCCGAAAGGTTGAGGCTCAGCTCATTCCTGAGGGCTGCTGTGTTCCTCTTGGGAGGTCTCGAACGCAAGGGGGACCTGTGCGCCCAAAAAACCCGAGAACTGTCGGTTCTACCATGGTTGTGGTGGTTTTATCGTGCTTTTACTAGAAGATAACCTCTAAGCCATGTGGAACCGTCATGGCAAGAAGCGTGGGCCAGGCTCAGTCGAAGTACTTTCCCAATTTGGATCAGAAGGGTCTAAAGTTCAAATCCTGAGTGGTTTTGAGCGGGAACATGCCGACTGAGCCAACAAGGAAACAACCAACATCATGGATAGATTCTCGAAGCAGGCTCGACTCAACTCGCAAAGCTGCCCAATCAGCTTCCGGCGATTCTCTACTTCATCTCCCCATGCGGATTGTCGCCCTACACAAATAGTCATCTGGCAGGGGTGCTGTTGCTGACCCCCAGATGAATCGCCTCTAAGCCTGGGCATCCCGTGTTTGGTGAACTAGGTGTTTAGTCGAGCTAGACTCAGTCTAGCTTCCCGGAAACGAGTTCGCCCTCCAGGTTAAAGCCATTACCTTCAAGCAGGTTCTCAGGGAGAAAACTACCAGTTAATTACCAAGGAGCAACAGTTGGCTCGCTCCCACAAAGTCCCGCGTCGCCAATGACAGGGCTCCCTATGCTTCCCCAAGCCATGTTGCTGTTTTAAGCCTCTTTTCCGGAGCCACGAACATCCGCCCGAAAAACCCGGTGACTCCTGGTGAACACGGAATCGCAGGGGCAGCTACAGAGGTGCTTCCACAAGGGGCATCGAGAAGTAATCAATATCCAAGTTGCATGGCTTTGACAAACTCGCCCACGTCCATGTAGTTGTTTCGGTCCTTACGCCAACGGCAAGAATCACACAAGCCTGGTCGGGTTGGACTAATTAACTGCAACGCAGTCTGCTTTGTTCAAACGACCAAGTCCATAATTGAAGGCACCAACTTGGAGCATTGCTCAGAAATCCTGTTACCTCTCATCCTGAAGAATCTTGGACTCGAAAAGGGACCCTCTGGTAGGTTCCATGTTTCTGGGCAGGAGGGTACTTTTCGAACGCAAAATGACAACCCGATAAAGGGACCAAGGAAAACAAACTCCACTTCGAGCCTTTTAGCAGTTTGATCCCGCAACGAACAGTCGCTGGAGTTGCCCACTCAAAGCCACTCTGAGATCCGCCAGATTCGACGGATGCGACGAAAAACGTCCTATACTTTCCATGGCCACTGGGCAGGGAAGGTGTGAGACTGTTTCCTCCTGCATGTGTGGCTGGGGGCGAGGGCAAACGGACGGAACTGGCAGCCGGCAGAACATGTTCATTTGACTGTCCTGGATTCCGGAGGAAGCATCTCAGGGCAAAAAATATCTCAACGCCTCCAACTGCACTGGTTTGCGCGTATTGGACAGTGCTCCGCGCTTGCCTCGTGCGGACGCAGCTACAAAAAGGAGCCACATACACATTTGCCAGAACAGGGTTGCTCCGCGAAGGCGTCGTCAAAACCTGGCAAACCAACAGCCAATCCAGGCGTGCCCAAAACGACCTGGAAATAACAGTCACCTTTTGGGACCTTTACTTGAAATTAATCAAACCAGGGAAACCAAAACATCAAAAGGTCGATTCGCTTTGGGCAACTGAGAATCCGGGATCCCCCCAAGTTTCTTTTGCCAACTCCGGTACCCCTCGTCGCTCCGCCAAGTTTGGGTCAAAAATCCGGTGTGCCCCTCGATTTTTTTCAAACAAACGCGGCCCATGGGAAACTAGGTCCTCCAGTAGAGAGGTTAGAATAAGGGTACCAACTTTTTCCTGTAGTCTATTCTAGTAGGGGAATCCTCCCAAGCAAAAAAAGGGGTGAGAACGGGCACCGCGGGACCCATGGGACATCAATCCGAGCCACGTCGTCCATGCGCTTGAAGCGCCGGGCCATGCCCTGCACGCTGCGGCCGTTGCGGCTGATCTCCGTGTGCAAACGCTCCAAGAGGCCCTAGCCGACGCGTCCCTCGTCGGGTTCGCTTCGGGGGGAAGGGTGTTTCGTTTTTCGGGTTCGAGCACATGTGTCCCATGGCTTTCCTTAGCCGAGCAAAAAGGGGAACCACCCCTTCTAAGTGGATTCCAAAAACAGTTTCTCTTGAAATTTCCCAAAATGGATGTCGGTTTCATTCTGGCCTCGCCTCCCTTTGAAACACAAATGCAAGAATGGGTTACCCAAAGAAGAGACATTAATTGCTGTGAAGGGGGCTTTGTGGGCGCTAAATCCACAGTAAAGGGCCTAAAGTGGGATTGGGAAGAACTCAAATGGAGACGGGATTCCTGAACGGTTTTTTTTCTAACTTAGTTACACGAACCAAAAAAGCATCCTCATTTTGACACATACCTACAAGTGGTCAACAAAATGAGCCGCTCCAAAGACCACCCTCTTGAAGGTGGTATTACTGGCAGCAACAAGGTTCATTGACCCCAACATGTTCAGCCTGTTAACTCGATATAGTGGCGTCCTTTGAGTTGGAAACCAAGGACAGATGCCGCCAACACTTTCTTTGTGCAGCAATTGACGACCAAAAGGTTTGCTTTGAATCGTATCGCCAACAGGTCATGCTCATTATGTCTTGCTTTGAGGGCCAAGTGCCCTCACACTGCATCTTGCAAACATCATTGCCAAAAAGGCGCATGGCATGTCCTTTCGAGGGAATCCCTTAGTGCAAATTCAATGGGGAACTCCGGCTTTCGGGTTGCCCCAAAGACAACACGTGGCAAAAGCACACTGCTTTGACAATGTGGAACTGCGGCTTGCTCTAACGGCATCGTTCACATAGGTGACCTTTTGGAAAAAATAGACGGCCGTTAGCGGTGCATTTGGGCACTTGCTCAGCTCTTTTCAAGGGAAGCAAGGACTTCGCCAATTTCGTGCATTTTTTTGCAGACAACTTCTGCCCTACCGCGTCTCCTGCCTCCATAGGGTCTCGTTCCCTCCAGGGCGAGGGCGACTGCGGGCTCGCCGCTGGGCTTGGCGAGGGTGATGGCGGAGGGAGGGACATGGCCTTGGTGCACACGATGGAACGTGGGCGCTACTGCGAATTCACACCTTGCAATTCCACAACTGACACGGCCTTGGAGCAACCACTGCTGGTCAATAGCGGGGCTGGAGAAGCTGAAAAGGAGACACTCAGTAATGGCCATGTGGCGTGTCTTTTTTAGGAGTTCCCCAGAATTTGAGATTATCCTTTGATTTATATTTAAAACCTGCCAGCAAAAGGCTGCCCTCGGAACAAACACACCCGTGTTGTTTCCTTTGGGGGCAGTGGTAACATCGGCTGTTTCGAGATACATAAGCATCCTGTTCAAACACATCTGAAGTGCTGTTTATGCCATCAGGGACTCTTCCACCAAGTAATTATGAGTCTTCATGCTACAACAAGGGACAATGCTTGGCAAACAGCCCAAGGGCCATCAACACTGTTTGCCAATCAACCACATGGGGCATTGACACATTAAGTCTGCTTTGACCTTCGGCATGGGACTTGGACAAATTCGTTCGATCCTCTCGATGACAATAAAGTGGTTGCCATCCCCGCAACTGCATGGAAGATTCCAACTTGGAATCACATCATGCACCTCAAACCCTGGATTCCCTTCAGACACGCACAGACTATGGGGCAAGCCCCGTAGAAAGACGAGAAACAAGGAGTGAGTTCCCTCGCCCATGCCCCTCGCACATGTGTCATAAACTGCCCTCTTTGAAGCAACCCTGGAAGTGGACAGGCAACCTTTTGAAGATCATTGATACTCTTCAAGACTTCGCATCGCGCCTTCATGATTGTGGGATTGCGCGTACTCCATCCAACTAAATACGAAGTCTGGAGAAAAAGGCCCATCTCCTCCTGGTTTTTTCTAGGGACAGAAACAACAGCTATGTGGCACCCGGTTGATCAAGCCCGAGACGCAAAAGGAAGCCTTGCGCCGGCTGGCGACGCGGCCGGCAACGCGGCCGCGTCGCCGTCGCTGCGGAAGCGGCTGCGAAGGAACCTGAGCCAAAGCCAGGGCTCGGCCCGCGCGAAATGGTGCCGGCCCAACCGCAAGGTTTCCAAAAAGGCACATCCTCAGGAAATGGTGCTGCCAGTTCTGAGCAGAAGATCGTCGTTCTGAACATGCTCGACACAGGATGTTTTTAGGCGTGATTTAGATCTGCCCGTCACCCCGAAACGGTACCTCATACGCGGCTTCTCAACGCTCACAAAAGTGGAGGGTGATGTCTCAAGTCTGGAAGGACTCTGATAGCTCTGGGGACTGATTCTCCATTCTTTTCAACCGTCGGTTCTTTTCAATAACCCGCCCGTTTTCGCTGGCTTTCCAAAAAAATCCGAGGAAGGATCCCTGGTAAGGTAGCCTTGCGAGTCAAATTTCTGGAGCAGGGCTGAAGGGACCGCCTTCAAGGGACGCAGGCGGGCCACGTTTTCTCCAAACATGCGGTGAACTGGTGACACATGGCTGTGGGTCAAACAATTTGGCAACCCCAAAATGGGTTGCCCTGGCACATGGAAACATGGACTAAAACCTGTGGTCCCCTGGTAATATAATTTTGACCCATACCCACATGTGCTACAGTCGCTCCCATGGTTCGTACCCCGCTGCCCTTGCTTATTTCCTGCCAAAGGCCTCCTAAAATTGTAAGAAACCTGAATGGAGAATTGCGTTGGTGAAAGAACATCGTCACATGCCTTTTGCTGCAGCTTGCAATTTGCCCCTACTTAGTTTCAGGTCTGGGTTTAACGCCCCTGCTGGGTTTTGGGGAAAGCAAATGAACCTCGCTTACTCGGCAATGCGGCAAGAAACCCGGGGGTAACGTTGGTCCGGAAAGCAAAACTAACGCAGAAGAGGGGGAGAAAGGCGCCAGTCAACTCATCAATCAATCAATCAATCAATCAATCAATCAATCAATCAATCAATCAATCAATCAATCAATCAATCAATCAATCAATCAATCAATCAATCAATCAATCAGTCAAACCAATCAACCAATCAACCAGTCAAACCAATCAACCAATCAACCAATCAACCAACCAACCAACCAACCAATCAATCAATCAATCAATCAATCAATCAATCAATCAATCAATCAGTCAAACCAATCAACCAATCAATCAGTCAAACCAATCAACCAATCAACCAATCAATCAATCAATCAATCAATGAATCAATGAATCAATCAATCAATCAATCAATCAATCAATCAATCAATCAATCAATCAATCAATCAATGAATCAAATCAAATCAAACCAATCAATCAACCAAATCAAACCAATCAATCAATCAACCGACCAACAACTCAATCAATTCAATCAACCAACCAACCAACCAATCAATCAATCAATCAATCAATCAATCAATCAATCAATCAATCAATCAATCAATCAATCAATCAATCAATCAATCAATCAATCAATCAATCAATCAATCAATCAATCAATCAATCAATCAATCAATCAATCAATCAATCAATCAATCAATCAATCAATCAATCAATCAATCAATCAATCAATCAATCAATCAATGAATCAAATCAAACCAATCAATCAACCAAATCAAACCAATCAATCAACCAACCAACAACTCAATCAACTCAATCAACTCAATCAACCAATCCAACCATCCAACCATCCAACCACTTCCGCCCTCCGCCCATCAAACATCAACGCCCTCGGAAGCCAAGGAGCTCCTTGAGGCCCAGAGGCAGCTTGATCTGCTGCCACGCCTCTTGCGACATGGAGCCCAAGGTCCACGGGTCCTCGGAGTCGGATTCGCTTGAAACGTCGGCGGATTCGAGCTTCTGATTATGGAAAAGCCATGGAACCAAAAGCTGATTTTGGGCTATACCGATCAGATATGTGGTGGGCGAAAGGAAGAACACGTGTGTGGTCAAAAGGGCCTTTTTGGGCAAGTTGCTTGCAGAAAACAAGCCGTGGGAGAGCAAGCGACGACAAAACAACCACCAGGGATTTTTCAGTGGGGAGCCAGAAGGAAGCAAAACAAGGCAGGGGATGGGGGGGTTGAACCGATTCTGTCCTCACAAAGAGAACAGTACTGAACGCCCGGCTTCAAACTCTTGGTATCCCGTTTGTTGAAGAGTCGGTTTCGGGCCCGAACCTTCTGATTTGCCAATGGAGGGCCTGATCCATTCAATGGAGCGCAGCTTTGGGCGGCCAGCTCATAGACCAAGACATGGATATCTCACCTCCATGATCAACGTGATCACCATGGGAACCATAGTGGTAGATTGACACCTGCTTGTGGCTTCAGAGTGGAGAATCATCAATGTGCGGTGATCTGGCTTTGAAGGGAGGACCCATGCAGAAGGGTTTGCTTTGTGCATCTGATGGAAGCTTCCCAAGCTCACCGAATCAATTTGCTGGTGCGTGTAGTGTGTGCCTGATGTTGTTTCTTCAACCCTGTCGGCAACGTCCTCAAGCAACCTGCACAATCCTAACATGATGATTGTCAATCTAGAGCTGCAGTCCACCCTTGTAAGGGGGGGGGGGGTTGCCTAGCAATGACGAAAGCAGATGCCGGCGAGGAATCTTCATGTTCGTGAACAATAAAGGGGTTCTAGCCACGGAGAAAATACGACCTATCAAGTTCACATGTCCACTTTGGGCAGGCATTTGAACATGCATTCACATCAACACTTCCGATCATTTGTCCGGAATTGTGGATCCTTGCGCACTGCAAGTATTGCTATCCGCACTTGACCATCTGGGACCTATATGACAGAAGATGGGCAAATTTTGGGGCCGCGGCTCGTTTCGACATGGCCCGAGCCCGAGCCGTCTAGTTTTGGATGGAGTTCTGCAGCAGCACCTCGCAAGACTGTTGAAAGAGTCCCTAAAACAAAAAAGCAAGCGGTGAGGCTGTTGACAACTAGTGCGCATGTTGTACTTTGGAGGGGGAGCCGTCCCAATTCACGGCAACTGGTGACATCCACCACAATCCACCGGCGAGCGGCGCAAAGCCACTCGGCCTCGAGGTACTGCAATACTTTGGCAGACTCCTCGACCTCACGCGAAGTTGATGCGAAGGCGTGGAGTCAAGTGAAAAGATTAGGATGCAATTCTATCTGGGCAAATACATAGGATCATCACACTCTTCTGGAAATCCAAGGACCCTCATCGCGGGTGAGCTTGTTTCAACCCCAGGTGAGCTAGCTATAACTATAGCACTATAGCACAGATATATGCATACTGCATATCGAAGACGAACCGATCAGAATAGCCTCTGCAAAGTCTCCCAGAATCAAGGAACTCAAAGACCAATCATGTCAGGGCATCACTTGGACTTAGACCCTGCTTTGCTGGTAACGGGAAATGCTGGCAAACCAACAAGCAAAGCTTGGCAAAGGAGAAGGCAAATGTAGGATCCTAGAAAAGGAGGGGCCTCGAAAAAGAGGATGGCCGTCTAAATTTATCCTGTGCAACAATTCACCAATTGCAAGTCATAAATCCCCATGGAAAGTACCATCATCATGGTGGCCTCGTTGTACCCCCACATCGCTGCGCTCGCCATATGGGCAGTGCTGTCCACTTCCAGTGGTTGGAAAGCGGGTAACCTCCGCCCAGGTTGAGCACCCAAATCCCATTGGCTATTGAATCCACCCAGGGTTACAAAGATTTATCTCGGGCTTGCTAAAACCGGGCTGCTCAAAATGGAGGCTTGGCCAATCCTCATCCATAAGCCTTCAGAGAAGCCACTACGAAGGGGACTGGTTCCTTGTGTCTCCCAAGGAATGGATTGAGGATTTGGACAAACAAACAAGCGGGGATACGTCGGGAGCGGACTTGGTCAAGGTGCATTTAGGGGGAATCCTCCTGTATCCCTGGTGCCCCAGGTATCCCTAGTTGGTTTCCCAGGATGACCCTTGAACAGCCCAGTCAAATCCCTAGAACTTCCAGAACTGGCGACGAGGAATTTGTCGCGTCTTCGCCGAGAGGCCGGTCGGTTCATCCGCTCGCAGGCCTCGAGCACTGCTTCCCTCACCCGCGCAGCGCCTCACGGCAGACGGCAGGCGACCACCCCAAAACGGGCCCCACCTAACTCATACTGCGGGTGGACAAAATCCATTTCGCACCACCCAAGAAGCAATGGTTTGTAGGATTTCGTCCACAGTATTTCTTGCTTCTGTTTCATGTATTTTGCCCGCTATCCTTCGAAAGGCCCATGGCCGCCTCGAAAGCTAGAGGGGTTGCCAACAGAACCGCGACTTTGCTGCCAACCTGCCGGGGTTTTGACGTGAATCGCCATCCGCTACCCTTCAGCTGCCCAAGGGCTTTGGGTTGGGGCCACTTCAACCAATCTGATTGCGCGTCCCAAGGGGCATGATCCGCTGCCGGGGCTGGACACCATCTTTATTTGCCGGAAGTTATGCCTTCCTATAATTTATTCTGGCAAATTTGGGGCATTCCTACTTCTCAACCACCAGCTGAAGCAGCTTTGATCAGCTTTGGGAAAGGCGGGATGGACGCGTGCACCATCAAGCTTGCTTTCTGTCCAGAAAACCACAAGGAAGCCAAAAGGACACAGGCCACAAGTTGTCCCCTACAAACGAGGAAGTGGTGAGACCGGCTCCCTTCAAGTCAGATCGTCCGTCACACCAAGTGAGTTAAAGAGCCCAGTCCAGAACTGCCATTCATTGGGCCAAAGGGCTGCAAATTGGCTCGTGAAAGCATTGAAATATCGAGTGAACCGTCTGTGGATGTGTGTCTGGCCTTTGAGCTCCCCTTTGGACGTACTTGTCGAACATGCTTCAACACTACACTGTAGGCCATTCCTTGGATGTTGCCGGACAAAAGCTCTTCCTGGCCGCTCTTCTGGCTGGGTGATCTGGCAAGACCGTGGGATTCCTGGCTGGCATACCCCCAGATCATTCCTCTTTCTTGAGGGCGAGGACATCCTCGGGTAAGGACACGCTTATGAAGAAGAACTGCAACAGCAACAACTCAAGAAACCACAAACATAGGTGTCCTTTTGGAAAAATAGATGGCCCATTCAATTGGAATAAGACCAGTCTGAACGAGTGCCATCTATTTTAAACCAAAAAACTAGCCTAAAAAGGACACATATGACCACAAACCTATAGTTGCTAATTTTCTTCCGCTCGTAAGCCTTGCAGGGCTCCAAATATCTCTGACCGCCCGGCCAGGACGGGCAGCCGCCGACCGTGAGCCGCGGCGCCATGGCTCCTGGCTGGCTGGATGAAATCTTTGAGTCGAAAACGGAGAAATCGGAAAGGCGGTGAGGGAAGGAATAAAGGATAGACTGTGAGGACAGGGAGGGTAGTGGGGACAGTTTGGAGAGTAGGGAGAGTGGGGAGAGTAGAGAGAGTAGGGAGAGCAGAAAGAGTGGGGAGGGTAGGGAAACCGAAAAACCCGAGACCCTACAAGATATGATTGACTGTAGAAAGCGAACAACATATTATTCCCCCCAAAAGCACAAAAGATCAATTGGAATAGGTTTGATTGTCGCCAGCATTGAGTGACTTCTTTGAAGCTTCACTCAAAGACCCCAAACCAAATCCTAGGCCCTGCACGACCCTACAGTAGTCGCTTCTGAAAGGATCCTCTAAACCCCAAACCCTGAACCCCTAAGAAGGACCCTGAGAAGGATAGAAATGTATTGAACTGCTCTCAAACATACTGAAACCACGAATGCATCCTGTAGTGTAGGACTGGTGCATTTGGAAGTTGGATGGGATCAAACAAACAACATGGTCCAAATGCCAGTTCAATGATGCCAACGCAGATCTCAACATCATATTATAGTCCTGACCATGTTTGTCCAGCTTCATCACAACTATCAGTCAAAACACCTTCTGGTAAAATTTCGATGATGCCAAACCATATTGGATCAATAGAAGCAGCCACTTGTTTTCACCCAGCAGGGGAAACTGGGGGACACCCAGGAAGGAACCTTCACTCTGATAGGGGACACCCAAGAAGGAACCTTCACCATGTGTAAGATTACCTACCCCCGGTAAGCGAGCGACACATGGTGTCTTTGTTGCATGACCAGTTTAGAACTATGTTTCACGGCAACCAAACGGAATGCCACCCATGTTGGGAGATCCCTCATTTCAGCAGCGCCACCATCAAACCGGTACAACACCTACTAAACTGGGCAATAGGAATGGGTGTTGGGGGCTGCTCTCATTTGAAGACAAGCCGAAAAATGAAGCCACATGGCACACGCACCCATGCCACCGGTCCTGGACATCCATGTGGCAACTTTGGCCAACGCGACGCAAACTTGCCCTTTGGCTCCCCAAGCGTTTGCAGTCAATAAATAGAAGCCGCAATTTGCAGAGGTGATCCCTGTACTTTCAGACAAAGGAAGTCAAGAGGGCTAGACCTTGGCTTTCCTGGGAGATAGGGGAGCAGGCTTTGCAGGAGTAAGGCGTGCAGTGTCTCAGTGCATCCAATCCCCCTAAGGGAAAAATGTAGTGAACGGAAACTCCTATCTCGAGAGGAGAACATCCAACTGGTAAATTGCCTATTTGATCTTGCAGTTCATCAAAGCTCTGGCATGCTCACCTCAGCAAGGCTTATCCACAGTGTTCTCCCAAAGTGCATACATCTTGGGGCTGCGAGCCGTTGCAAAGAGACTCCAAAAGGTTTGTTGGGCTATGCTTTGCGGCCAGCGTCATTGTCACATCTCCGCTTCTTCCGCCACTTGAGCTCGTCTGCACCATGTCTGCACGCTGCCAACCAGCAAGAATTGTTTTTTGTCGTGGTACAATATATCATACATTATATATATACATGAACTATATATATATGTATTTGTATATATATATATATTGGGCGCATTTGTGGCGCGCCGGACATCATGGGCGAACACATTGGGCGAAAGGGTAAATCAACGACAGTCTCCGGCCCTGGCTTAAGAGCAATGCAATTAATCACAATAAAGCAAGCAGCCTCATTTAGACGATAAGCGAATTGCCCAGGCCAATCGCAACAGGAACGAAATAACGCTAAGCCAACTTACTGGCTTGCAGCATTAGGTTCCGTTGCTTCAACCCATAACATGTCGAGCAAAGATGCATTGCAATGCAATGCAATGCAATGCAATGCAATGCAATGCAATGCAATGCAATGCAATGCAATGCAATGCAATGCAAATGCAATGCAATGCAATGCAATGCAATGCAAACACTGCCAAATGACAAAAAACTTCTCTAATCAGCCTGGGGGCCTAAATCACTATGTCTGCATATTACACCCAAAGCTGATTGTGGGCTGACTACCAATGCTCTCGTCATCCAAAAGCATGATAGCTCACCGAGCTAAGCTAGATTGAAACATATCCAAGCATTCTTGAGATCACCATGGTCGGCCGACACTTTCATGTCAAGCACGAAGGATATGTTGAAGAACGGATGCCATCCATCACCGAACATGTATGGTTGCTTCTATCATTGATTTGGCAAACGATGATGGCCGGACTGGAGGTTGAAATCGCACTCTTTTCAAGCGGACATCAGCGGAATTGAACATCACCAGATTCAAAAGAGGGCTCCGGCACAACGCATAGCTAAGTTGCCTGAATGTAACAACTTCAACATGGACCTAATTCGCACGAAGCCTCTGTATAAATACAGGGCTGTTCACCCTTGACCCAGGAAAGGGATGCAGGAATTCAGCTGATTCTTGGAATATGTTTGTTTGACTGTTTCTATTGGTGACAAAGTCAGATGGATGCCATCATGATTTGCATATGGGTGCAAACGCGAAGGACGAAGAAAGATGACAGGGCCTCAGTGAGAATGCGCCAACTCTGAGCCCTGCACGGATGATCCGGCATTCGATCATGCCGGCCTGCTTCCTGGGCCGTATCGTTTTGCTGGGTGCAGCTGCCTCACTCTGAAGCATCAGGCAACGCGAATCCTCGCTGAGCGATCGCAATGGAACGTCAGCGATTACATTTGGCACCTTGGCGCCTGAAATCAACGAACCACCTGACTTCGCAGCTAGATCAATAGCGAATCCCCAAAGCACGCTCCATCCCACGTCGCAGCAACACCCTGCCACAGGCAAACATCATGTTTAGAGGAATCCCCTTTTCCCCTTTTGGCGCTTTTTCTGTTCGACTGGGCACCTCCCACGGCCCATTGGCGTTTGGCTCTACCAAGACGACCGCAAAGGTCTATGCAGGGCCATGCAGGGCCTATTGAACTCCCAACGAACCCTAGTAACGTGGCCACCTGGTCTTGGGGTGCGTTTCCGCGCCCGCCAACCGACCCGAACGCGAATGGGCAAGCGTCGGGGATGGGTTCAGCAGAAAGTTCTTCATCTCCGCCGGGGGGATGCTGGTGACGTCGAACTGTGGCTTCCTCAGCGCGGAGAATTTCCCCAAACGCGTTGCCACTTGACGGGGTCGGATGGGGGTGAGTCTAAGTCTTTCAACACAAGGAATGACACATGAACAAAGCTCCATTTGCGTGCTGGCTCTTTGTTGTGACAAACAAAAAACATACAGTTGGCACCCAGGAGGCTCCAGGATCAACTTAATTAGTTTAATGGGCCCCAGCTTGACTGCAAATGCATCTCCATGGGAGATTGCAATTGATCCGATCTTGGCTTATGCCTAGGCTTGGGCCAATGAAGTATCAATCGCCATGGATTCATTCCGACACAGCGCAGCTGTTGCGACGGGCTCCGAAAATGAGTTTTGGACCCCGTTTTGGTGCGTGGAGCAAATGAGAACGTGCCAGGAACATTTGCATCTTCAGGGATCCTGATTTTGGAACTTGAACTTGGCTCAAGAGACAAACTTGGTGACATTGGGGTGTCAAGGAAAAGGCATAGTTTTCAACCGATGCCAACCTTTTGAAGAACACCGTATATACCCTTCGCAATAACTGAGCTTTCCGAGTATTTCCAAGTGTTTCCATGCGACGTGTCCTTTTGCCGTCAGCACGGAGTGGGAACCCATGCAAAACCGTAAGCATCAAACAGGACCCTCCATTGGAGCGGAACAGGAGTCCAGGAGTCTCCATTGAATGGTGTCGAAACTCACAAGACCCCATTCGAAGTACCAATTGATTCTTCCCTCATTTGTGTTCCCAGAAGTGATGAGTCTGCCAGCTTTGCTCTATTGCATTAGGAAGCGCCCCTGTATTCGCGAGGATTCCGTGAATCAAATGCCAATCAGTCACATGTATATGATGTATATATGTCTATATACACACATTGAACTCCAGCATGTCCTCCACGTGTCATAAAGCAGGAGACGTACTTCAAATGGCCACAGTTTCCTGTTGGTCCCTTTCAACGCCGCCGGAAAGTCGTTTAAACGGGACTCGGCCAAACCTGCATGCGGTATTTGGCCCTCCCAGTGTCGATGGGTACCCTGGGCCCAGGTCATGCAAACTCGTGTTGCGTAGGAATCGGACACTTCCTTTGCCAGGTGAGTACGGGTCATTGCTGACAACCTGCGTGCCTTTTTTGGGACCCATTTTGGTTTGAACAGGATGCCACGGCCCAAACATTTGAGGGTGCCCTCGTTCTGAGAAAACAACCTATAGTACCACTAGCAAAGAGATACGGGCCTACCCAATACTAATACGTACATGATGCATAGCATATCAAGAACAGATGCCACTCCATACGAGCACAGGTGTTGCTTATATAGATTGCAACCCCTTCACAAAACATGGCTAAAGAAGTCGGCAACCAGAACCATTTTTGGGCTTGAAGCCATCGGTTTACGACACCAACTCGAATATGATCTGCACGTCGGATTGATTGGGGACCCGAAATCGGTGGATGTCAAACTTGTTTTCCCCAAAGCGACGCCCCAGCAGAAACAACACAAACACGAATATGGGTGTGCCTTTCTTGGGGGATCCGCTGGTGTTCTCCCTTTTGAGACACACCAGTATATAATTATGCTAATGCATACATACTGTGGGTGGACGAAATCCTGCACCACTTGGGAACCATGGGAAACCATTGTTTGTTAGTATTTACAAGGGAATCATCATGCCAGGGATTATTAGGTGGTGCAGGATTTGGTCCACCCACAATATAATTATGCTAATACATATACATAGTATACATATATATATATATAAACATTGCAGATGTCCATACACAGAATATCCGGGAAGCTTTCACACCTCCAAGCTCCTCCCACTTCTCCGAGCGGCGCCGCGGCCGGAGCGCCGCCGGCGCTTGGGTCGAAGACCTCAGGCGGCTAAGACCAGCATCTACCCGAACGGGGTCACCCCATTTTGAAAGGGACAGGAGACTCCAGTCATGAAAAGCTCCCGAACCATGGGTCTCACGAATATAACCTACTCCAATTCCCTTGGCTCGGATGAGGATCCACTGCGAGGAAGCCCATAGCCGGAACGAGCCAGGCAAATATATCTCAGCAACGTTCCAAATCCAAAACCTGGAAGCTCCTTTCGGTTTTCGTGAAACAGAAAACCACATAAAACGCTCACTCCGGGATGGGAAAGGTCCGTCCCGTGAAAATGTGCACCTCTTCGAGGGGCTTTTCATTGTTTGAGGGTCCAAAGGATGCCTAAAATCACAGGGTCCGATTTCTCCGAGAATCGCCAGTCAAACTGTCCAGGTCGTGACCATCACCCCTTCACATCAACAGTTTGAACGTGGGCTCCAGTCTGTAATGTGCTGTCTTTCTACCCCTCTCTCAAGGACATCGTTTGATTGAGGGGCTGCCCAACTTGAGCAACGATTCTTATTGTACGGGAATTAAAGCAGGCAAATCCCGACTATAAACTCTTCTAGACGGTATAACACCGAAATCCCCATGTCAGTTGGGGCAACACAAAAAACAACTGCCACTTCTTGGCTGCTCGTTGGCCTAAGAGCAAGTGTATGGCTTTCTTCCGCTGGTTGCACTTGCTCAACGTCATGATCAACAAATACCTTGGTTGTGGTTTCCAGGAGCCATGTCAACCCATGCGATCCTATGAAGCGAGACAGAACTTCCAAACAGACAACCCTTGCAAAGAAGGCTGGATTCATGTGTGCCATGGTCCAAACTGCCCATGTAGGTCATCATGGCTCGCCGAGCTGGAAAAAACTACTGGGAACGATTTCGCAATGCCGCCAAACCCTACGGTTTTTAGCAGGACGAGCATTCCCAACGCCCAAAACATGATTAGAGTTAGGCCCAGTTATAGAAAATATATTTTATTGTTTGCTTCACTTTGAGTCACTGGTAAAATGTAAAATGTATCCTAAG